TCCAACATTTTTGTAGGAGGAAGAAAAACTCAAACGACAAGAACTGGAGGATATAATGGCAGAAAACAACAGAAAAATCGAAGAGGCCCAAAAGAAATTGGTAGGTCTCTCCTTGTTAAAAGTTACTGTCATTGAATGTATAATTTTTAGAGTGTAAGATATTTGGCAGACAAAAATTGCTTTTTGAAAAATTTTGGGTAGATTTAATGTTCTTATTTATTTATAAATGTGCAACACATTTAGCGTTGTACTTGAATTAGCGCAAGTTTCTTTCTGCCAAAAGTGCTAAAAAGAATACACAGCCAAATGTAATACGTTTACAGTATGTTTTACGGATAGAATACTATTAATGGGATAATGAACAAACAAGAAACTGGTGCATAAAATTTACATTCATCTTGTGACAGGACCAAATAAGATTAAGCCCAAGATATTGTACAGTTGAATGTAAATGAATTGGTATGAAGAAGAGGGGGAGGGAAGTAAAAAGATATCGGAGGGAAAATATGGAAATTTTTGCAATTTTTTTTTGAAATGATGTTTGTCTGGTAGTTTAAACTTTTTAGGTCAATGTTAAATGCATTTGTAAACTAAATTATTTTTTTCTTGTCAGGCCGACGAGCAATTGAAATTGGTTGAGGAACAGAGACGCATGCTCGAAGAAAAGCAACGAATGGAGGAAGAGGACCGGAAAAGGAAAAAAAGAGAACAAGAAGTTATTTTGAACAAAAAGAATGCAAGACCCAAATTGTCTTTCAGTTTAGGGGGAAAATAGTTAAAGGCTCATTGGTTTTTTTTTTTGTTAGTGTCTGTACATGTATCAGGTTAAAGATAAATTATCCGGAGTTAAAAAGTCCTTATCACAAGGATATAGAGGAAGTCCAGTGCACAGGTCCTTTTCCCACGTATACATGTATGATAAATATTCCTTAAGTGGATCTTTCTGCCTTCCAGGAAAGCAGGAGCATGCGGACATTTTCACATGATTGGAATTTATTTGATGCAAACATTCTTTTATACATATATCTATAAATGCTGTGGCAATTCCTTGCATCTTTAAATTCCGTCATGTATATCTGTGTTTGTTTTTATTTATGTTCCTTCACATCATCTCATATTAACTGTGAATCGATAAATCATGTGAATTAAACTCAATAATAGAAACTTATTTGTTTTTCCTTTCTTAACCAGGATGGGGAAAGTTCTTTGATAGTAGTATTTTTAATATAATTTATTGAAAAAGAAAGGCAGGTATTTAATAGAATGGTCTGTTAGTGTGTTTTTATGTATTATCACCCACATTTAGATGCTACCACTTCAATGTCGGTGGAGAGTTTTATACCTGTACTCAACACTCAGGGTCATTGAGCAGTAAGGGATCTTTTACGTGCCAGCACTTTTGGAGACATCGATCCTCAGATTATATGGAATAATGGTATTAACTGAAAGATCTGATCTCCACGTTTGGCAGTGGTATTTGAATCCACAATGTAAGCATCAACTCCTTCCCCCCTTTTTTATAGCAAACTCTCTAACATGCACTGCATTTGACAGTCAACCCATAGAATGGTTAATTTCTCTGTTCTATCAGTATGTAAAATTGACTTGATTTAATTAGATGCATGTAAGAAGATATTGAACAAAGGAGTTGGGCAAGTAAACCATGAACTATTTGTACTGTCTATTATCATTAGAGACTCCATTGTGAAAATAGCAGTGAATGTGAAAATGTGCCTTGATAAATTTGAACACTATGATTCAATTTATCTATTAAAATATCTGTAAATTTTTTTCAAAAGGCTACTTTTGTACTTGTTATACTTTTTAAGCTTAACTCAACAAGAGACTAAACCAAGGATCATTGGTTATAGTCATTGCAAAGTTTAAGGTCCAAGTCCTACTTTCCCTTTGTTATAAATACAAGCACAGTGGTAGTAAGAGTGTCTGCTCTAAAGTCGCGGAGTAAGGAGTTGATCCTTATGTCGTGGGTTCGAATCCCACGTTGAGACTTCAGATGAGACTGTGCACCTAGGTCCCGATCCTTAAATTAATTGAATTACTGCTTTCAGTAATTGAATCGATGTACGCATCATGATCATGCAACATATTATTGGTCACAAAAAAAAAGAAGATGGGTGAACAAGTATGCAGAATGCCTATAGCTTCAAACTATTATATAAAATTCATATTGATTTTATAAATTAAGTTCTCACCATTGAAATTTATGAAAGCATAGCAAAGTTATCACCAAAAAATTCTAAAAACAAGATGTGTTTGTGTAACACTATGCGCCCGATGGCAACAAAGATCGAAAAAAGCTATTTTTAGCATATAGGTCACAGTCAACGTACAAGAACTTAATTAGTGGAGTATGCATACCAAATATGAAGTCTCTATCTCTTATAGTTCAAAAGTTATGGCGAAGGTACGAAAAAGCTATTTTTAGCATATACCGGTAGGTCACAGTCAAGTTCACAAGGTCATTGACCTTGGTGTCATTTATAAGAGCTTATTTAGTGAAGTATGCATACCAAATATGAAGTCTCTATCTCTTATAGTTCAAAAGTTATGGCGAAGGTTAAAGTTTGCAAACAAAAAGCTATTTTAGCATACAGGTCACAGTCAAGGTCACAAGGTCATTAATCTTTGTGTCATTTGAAAGAGCTTAATTAGTGGAGTATGCATACCAAACATGAAGTCTATATCTCTCATGGTTCAAAAGTTATGGCGAAGGTTATAGTTGACGACAGACAGACAAACAAACAGGACAAAAACAAAATACGCCCCGGATCTATCGATTCGGGCGCATAAAAATTTTTTTTATTAAAAATTAGTGTAACTATATTCGTGGGATTCGAACCATATTGCTTTTTAAAATTTGTCTTCTTTTTTTTTTTTTTTTTTTTTTTAAATTTACAGATTTTAATACAAAGTTTTACAATGCGTACATACATTTTCTGTAAATTTTTTATGAGAGAAAGAGAGAGAGAATGGGAAAATAGAGCAAGAGAGAGAGAGAGAAGGGATGGTGAGATAACCAAAAATTAAATAAACAGATTATTCCAGGGACTCCAGGCTTCGTCAAAAGTCAACTGATTATTGTTCTTATATATATGCAATGTACTTGTTTGTTTCATACATATATTTGATGGAGGATATCAGTCCAATCAAGGAGAGGTTTTTACCTCTACATCTCATTCTATAGATAAAATATTTAATTTGAAGAGCAACGAGATATTTAATTTTGTCTAATTTTGCAAAAGATCCCAATATGAATTCTTTCTTTGAATATACAACATTAATATGAATCTTTCTAAAACAATAACTATCAAAACTATTCAACAGGTCTTGTATTACTTCATATTCCCAGAAGATGTATGCAATAGATTTCTGTTTTAGTTTCACAAAAAGAACACCCATATGAACCTATTTTCTTAATTTTATGTAAAAAGGAGTTTGTTGCTAATATTTTATGATTAATTCGGAACTGAAACCACTGAAGTTTTGTATCTTTTGTGAGCTTAAAAGGAAAAGAAAAAAAATTCTCCCATTCAGTATCATTCAAGTTAAAAATTCTATTCCAGCTAGTTTGACCATTACAAAAGAATAAAAGGTGTTTTCTAAATCTTTTATATATGAATCAGTAGGATTTGGAAGCGAGGCAAAAATATGGTTCAATGTTGGCAATAAAAGTGTTTTCAAAACTGTTAATCGTCCTAGTGGTGTGAGATTCCTACGTTTCCAATGTCTTATCATTTTCTTTATGTTTTCTAACTTTGAACCGAGATTCCTTGAAAGTACCTTCTGCAAATCTATGTCAAATTCAATACCTAGTAACCTAAAGTTTTTCTTTCCCCACTCAAGAAATTGATTTTTACATAAAACCTCATCACTACCTTTTTTGTTACCTATCCATATTACTTGTGTTTTATCATAATTTATATGTAAGCCGGACATTTTTGCAAAATCTCTAAGGGTACCTAAACTTGATTGTAAAGATTTCTCTCTGCCATCCAATATAAGAGAAGTGTCATCAGCAAGCATTGAGATTTTCTTTTCCCCATCAAGGAGATGTATACCTTTGATGTCTTTATTATTTCTTATCTTAATAGCAAGAATTTCCGCACATATTAAGAATAAGTATGGGGATAACGGGTCTCCCTGGCTGCATCCTCGATGCAAAGAGAATTTTTCTGATAAATTTCCTCCCTGATTTACTGCTGAAGTAATGTTTGAATAAAATAAACTAACCCATTTCCTGATAGACTTTCCAAAATTAAAGAAATTAAGTGACTTTTGAATAAAAGCCCAAGAGACAGAATCAAATGCCTTTTCAAAGTCAACAAGGAGAAGAAGACCTGGTATTTTTTCTTCTTCTGTATATTGCATAATGTCATAGATTAGTCTTATGTTTTCAGCTATATTCCTACCCTGTATGAAGCCTGTTTGATCAGAATGTATAATTTTATCTAGAAACTTTTTAAAATTTGTCGCTCCATAAACCAACCAAAGCGTTTCAATTTCCATTTCCTTTTCAATGAAATTTTTCATATATCTTCATGTAGCATATCCAAATAGTTGAAATCAAAGGACTCGTGTGTAGGCTATAAAATATCTGGATAATTATTTTTGGAGAGTTCATTGGTTCATGTTTGACACACGTGTGCCAGAGAATATATAATCTCCTACTGTATTTCTGTTTACAAACATGTGCATGGGTAACATCACTTTTGTAATATAAGCAATCATTGCAGATAGTTTCAAGCAAAAATTATCTGTCCCTTTAATTTGTTAGTGTCCTTTTCATTTAAAGTACATATATTTAGTTTCAAGCAAAAATTATCTGTCCCTTTAATTTGTTAGTGTCCTTTTCATTTACAGTACATATATTTGGTACACATGTGCATCTTGGCCTACTATTACATGTAGATCACTCGACTTAAGACCACAAATGCATTAGTCTTCCGTGAATCTTTCACGAGTTATATCTTTGTTCTGCATTCAGTTGGATGACCTTTCTGTGTTCATGTAATCATGTCGTTGTATTACGACAGAAACTATGTAACTGTACAAATCGGGCAGGGATAAGATAAGAACAATACATGGAAGTGTTCTCTTTGACTAACCAATCTTTTCAGGTGAGCACTAAAACAAAAACATATCAGAAAATAAGAAATGTTTCACGCACCGATTTTGTAAGGGGAAAAATATTTATATATATATTTTTTAGAGATCTGATATTTCAAACAAAAAATCTGCTTTCCGTTATCAATTTAATGATACATGTATTTCCTTGGATGATGACATAGTAATGTAATTAAGGTTCATTGACCCCTTGGTAAGAAAGATAACTCTTACTCAGATAAATGACTTACTCCTGTAGTTTATAAAATTTTAGTAAAATTTTCATTATTTTGTCAAAATTTTCCCCGTGATGTATGCTGAAGTTGTGTCCAATTCAGTTAAAAATCTAAGCAGAATTTGATAGATCTCTGTGATTTTAAACCGAGTTTTTGTAATATTCGAGACAGACCTTTCATTTCTGTGGGTTCCCACGCAGATATCTAGAACAAACTCAACAATGAAAATTAAAACAGAACATGCTGGCTAGCTAAATCACGTGATTAAAACTGTTTTTAAAAGCCATTCTTATTCTGTATATAGTTAGAAATGCTCGAAACATCAGAGGAAGAGAGACACTTTTCTTTACATACAAGGATTTCCAACTAGAGTCAGACGACGCGTTCCTTAAAAATATATAATTTTCCCCAAGACTTTTGTCACTGAAGCATAGGTACTCAGACAAGTTTCCTCGCAAAAATTTAAGGTACCTTAATTACCAGGCATTAGAACAAGATACCAAACTGTGAAATTTCTGAATATATAATCCTTAAGTGTAATCTTCTAAATAACCTATATCGCAATTTTTGGTGAACTTATATTTATAAACCATATTGCATATAATGTAGCAATCACAAATGAATGACAATTATGAATTATTTTTATATAATGCCAAGAAATACAAAATATAATTTTTATATTTGAGGGACATGTCGTCTGATCTTAAGAGGTAATCAATTATAAATGCATAACATCCAGAAAAAAATGTAGCGACATTTTCAAGATTTCATTCCCCCCCCCATGTTTTTAGCTCATATCCGATCAAGTGAGTTTTTCTGACCCACCCGTCGTTCGTCGTCTGTTAACTTTTCACATTTTCACCTTCTTTTTAAGAACCACTGAACCAATTTTACATAAAGTTTTTACAAAACATCCTTTGGTAAAAGGCAGTTTAAATTTTAAAAAGAAATGAAGGACAATTTAAAGCCCCCTTACAAGATAATCAAGAAAAGACAAAAATAGGGTTTGGTCATTGAAAATAACTCTTCTCAAAAACCGCTGGGTCAGAAAAGCTGAAACTCATGTGAAAGCAACTTTGAGTATTGAAGATTATAAATTGCTCGATCTTGATCCCTGGTGGCAGCTAGGGCGGAGCCATAGTACAGGGAATCAAAGGTTAACATTGAAATATGAAGAAAAAAAATCTTTAAACACCTCCCTCTCAAGAACCATTGGATCAGAAAAAATTTAACTTAAGTAAAAAGCATTCTGGAGTAGTTTACAGTAAGATTTTATATTTTCAAATCATGACCTTCGGAAGGGGGGAGGGGTCGAGGCCACAAATAATAGGGAAGTTTTACATTGAAATATATAGGAAAATTCTTCTCAAGAACCACTGGGCCAGAAATCCTTATGTGGAAGCATCCTGGGGTAGTGAAGATTTAATTCAAGACCCCTGGGGATAGGGCGGGTCACAACTGGTATTGAAAGGGGGAGTCTGGTGATCATCAGGGCCAACGTTACTCAGGTAAGCGCTATGACCCATGGGCCTCTTGTTATAAAAAAAAAATTAGATATAAAAAAAATATAGATTCTATTCAAGAATGCGTTTTGCTAAATGCAATTTTGAGAAAGGGTTAAAAATAAATATCTAAAAGCTCTTTTTGTTCAGGTTAAACCATGAATTACGTCACTTTTCTGGTGCTGGTAATCTTAATGACGTCAGTGTCTACTATTCCCGTTTTACAAAGAGATTTAGAAGAAAGGACATGTGAGTATTTTATTTAAATAAGAGCTATGACTTTCATATTTCAAATGTGTCAAGCAATTTCTTAAAGTGCCAGCGTTTTCCTCTTGACCTTAAATTTTGACCCGGTTTAAAAAAAAACTATAAGCTTGAACCTATGTCATAACTTTTGAACAGTTTTTTTTCTGCCTAATACTTCACATGTGTATTCGTTGTGACATATAAGACCTTACAATAGGTATATATATCTTTGACCTTGACCATAGAGGTTGAGAAACATTAACCTTGGTTATAACTTTTGAACAATTAAAACTAGGGCTTTTATATTTCACAGATGTAGTACTTGTGACAAGACCTTTCTTTGGTTGCGAACGATGTTGTCTTTTTGACCTAGAGTTTGCATCTTGACCCATCTTTGAAATTTTTTATCTTGGCCATATTTTTTGGACAGTTGGTGCTAGAACTTTATATTTCACATGTGTATTATTTCTGACAAGGTCTTCCCCTCGGTACCATTAATTCTGAGCTTGATCTTGGAGTTTGACCCACTTTTGAATAAATTTAGTTTATCTTAGTCCTCATTTTAAATTGGTTTGTGCTTGGGTTTTCATATTTGAAATTCACAGATATATTCAATGAGACAAGTCCTCTCTTTAAGTAACGGCATTTTTTTTTTATTTCTTGACCTTGAAGGTCACCTTGCCTTTCAGAAAGTTCATCCGTCGCCATAACGTAAGCTGATATACGGGGTACTCAGTGTTTTATAAACAAACACATCTTGTTTAATTCACATTTTTATTTAATTACTTAAAAAGGCTTAGAATGATAATTATCACATTTGGCTACTGTTATGTTAAAGCTGAATTCTAATCGTAAAAAAAGGAATGACTATGTCAGCCATATTCGACCGGACTCTCGCTATACCTGAGGACCCCTATATATACAAAGCGGCTGAGTTAGTCATTGTTCAGTGCATGTAATCAGTCGTCATCGATGTAGACGGACGTATGCTATACAGCATTCGGTAGCGACCAAAATTAACTGTATACTTATTCTAATGAAGAAAAGTAAGATACCAAAGAAACTTACAATAGTCATGGTAGTTGCACAGTATATAAACGCACACAAATACACGCAACTGCAATAAAATGTAAACAAAGGTAATGCAAGATACTATAGTACCCAGCACGAAAACGGGTGTCCATTCCACGCCGATACCCATGACAACAAAGCAGTCAGGTGTAACGATTGCGAAGAGTATAACCTGGTGATCAGTTCATGGAAAATGGCGTATACCTATTTACGAGTCGTGTTCAGTTTTAACACCAGTACCGGGGTATACCCTTCGCATTCGTTACTCTTGACTGCTTTATTGTCATGGACATTAATTCCAAGGTAAGCTTGAACTTTCGGATAGGCGTGGCATTCTTGGCGCTACGTAATTAGCGTCTCTCAATTGGCGAATAGATTCTCATTGGTTATGAAATTAATAACACCAGGAACTTTAAATTGTCTTTGACAACGATGAGACGACTGAAGTCCCACCTCTTTGCCCGAGGAGACAATGTTATTGGCTATTTTCTACACTCGTTGACATTCGCCCGAATTTCTATAACATGTATATTTCAACAGTAAAGAAAAAGTGTGTAAATTTCAGAAGCTAATTATGTAACGTCGAGAATGCCACGCCTTACTGAAAGTCCAAGCTTTACTGGGAATTGTCCTATTACCTTTGTAAACGTTTTATTGCAGTTACGTGTATTTGTGTTTGTATACTGCACTGACCTGTGCAAATGTAAGTTTCTCTGGCATCTTACTCTCCTGCGCTAGAAGAGGTATACGGGTTTTTTATTCGCTACCGATTGCTGTATATATAGCATACGTTGGTCTGCACCGTTGACGAATGACGATTGATTACACTGAACAGTGACTAAGTGATCGGTTTTATATATGGCCTTCAAATAAAGCGGGAGACCAATCGAAAATGACGGGCAACTTTCAGTTTACGAATCGTGTTCAGCTTTTACCTATGATTTACAATAGTACATATCTTTTAATACTTTGAATATTCTTTGCACAATAAATAGTGATCATATTGATTACTCAGGCTCCGTTCCAAGGTTAAAATAAACGTATTTAACTAAAACGTGTATTGTTTTTAGTGCACACAACTGCTCCGCCAAACACCGATCATGGAATTCTGCAGCAACTCGGGGAGTATTTCAGAGGTAGGGATATTCCAGACAATCCGGTACCCGCAAACACTGTGGACAGCACCATAGCCAGGGACGATATTCTACACGAGCTTGGAGAATACTGGAAAGGGCGAATAGCTGCCTTAATTAATCAAGCCATTCATCAACCGATAAACCTTATTTCTAACTTAATTGGGAATGGAAAGTAAATTTGATCAAAACTAGTTCGTTTCATTTTGTAAAAAATATAATACGTTAGTGATAAATACAGGTACCGCCGTTGAAGAGAAGTATGCTACATTCATATCAAATTATGACCAAGAAATTAAAAGAATATATTTGTTCACAAGAAATGTGATTTACATGATGATGTACAGTGTATATTGATTTATAACGGCCAAATTAAATCAAAATAAAATTCAGTGTTTCTTACAAACATGATATCACAACTAAAATTTTATTTTGAATTTATTTTGTTAAATTAAATATTTAGTTTGAGAACAGTAGAAAAAGAAATATAAAACTTTTAAACGAATATTTGAATTTTTGTTATTTTATTAGATTTTCAATAACGTACAATGCTTATCGAGACGCAGTAATGTACACATCAAAAGGCATGTAGCTCAAATCTCGTTTTAATGTTGATACAACGTATTTTAATCAATACATGCAATGATGATTAATAGGAACTACTCAAATTATCTGTATTAAGAATATATGAATTATCATCATATTAAATACTCGGTAAAAGAGTAAAATTATATATAATAATTAGAGCTAGCTATTTCTAAAGTAATAAATTAAGAATAAAAAAAATTAAATTACTTCCCTTGATCATGATCAGATCCTGTGCTTTCTTTGCAATAATGCTGTACACATTAAAAAATTACACATAAAATAAACATGTTTATGAAAAAATACTTCCTAAGCACTGCAAGAGCATTGGCCATTAATACTGAAACAAACATGATAATATGATTGATTGGACTGTCTTTCAGTAAAACTCTTTAAAGATAAGAGCGATGAAGAAGACCAATTCTAACATCACATTGAAACCAAGAACAAGCATCTTTTCATACATTGTAACAAGGCTTTCTGGAGTTGAAGAGTCATTACTTTTAGTCTATATATATGTTAAAACAATTTTTGATGATAAAAAATTGGAATTTATGGGCATTTTTCTTAATTCCTCACTGCCCTGGTCCTATCCACACAACTGTGGAGATTAAAGGAAATAAATTAAATTCTACAAAGTAGCTACATCAGACAAGACCCTAAAAATCCCAGAGTCCTTCTCTAAAATTTGATCCATTTATATCGCAAACTTTCTTCAAAATTTGCAGATTAGAACCCTTTTAAAAATGGCGGGAAAGCGGAGATTTCTGAACCTGTTCTGAGAGTCATTTCAACGCTTACAAGATCTGGGTTATATGTACCAAACACCGGTAGAAGCGCTTCGGTGAAGTCGATTCCTGTGAACGTGTGAAGTTTCTTCTGCTTCCCGACGTCTGCAACCGTCCACTTTCGTCGCTTGGTATCAATCAACAAACCATATGTCAAATCGACTGTAATTCCCGCCGCATTATCTGACAAGGGTACGTATGTCAGAAGATCACGATTGTGCCAAAATTCATGGGCCAGTTTTCCGTCTTCTGGATATCGTGCAACGTAGCAGGATCGCGCATGCTCATGACGTTCCACAGTATGATGAGTGTCAATGATGTCTTTGCGGCAGATGCCTAGCTCATACACCAGCCATGTTTGTTCTAAAGGCTGGTAAATGGTAAAGGATACGTCCACTTCATAATAGTACTTTCCGGGATCTTTGAAAGCAAAATTGCCTATGATGCCTTTGTAGTTTTGGAGTTGTTTCTCAGCAGTACCGCAACTGCTGGGTTTGCCCGTCTTTCTGTTTCGTAAGACTTTACCATCTAGGGAGACCTCGCGCTCATTGTGAATGGTCAAAACGTCAAAAGTGAATTCCGGACCTGAAATATGTTTTATAGACATTAAGTTCTGTAAATCTGAAACATGCAGCATCTCAGCTCAGGCCTCCAGGATCATGAAGCATCTTAAGCTTAAGTCAAAATCTTCATGTTTTACTGAGATTTTGTGATAGTCGAGCAGATCAAAATTTAAATATGTTTCAATATTGATTTACTATAAGGTGCTCTGACGTTTGTATTTGCAAACTGTGAGATTAATTCAGTATAATTAATAAACATTTTAAAGGCGATTGAAAATTTTTTCTGAAGTCTACGTCTGTTTCATGATCCTGGGGCCAGGACAATTGAGATGACTTGATTGGGTGGTAACCGTTGTACATTGGATTCCAAATGATTTATATCAAATACTATCCAGTTTTGAAACCGAAGCTGACAAAGAAAGAAAAACTTACAGACGATATCCCCATAAATGACACCAGGAAGGTTCTTCAGTTCTAAAATTAAAAATTATAATTTTTTCAAATACTCCTAAACATGAAGGGAACACCAATATGGCTTATCGACTGAGCTTTCACAGAAGTAGCAGCTATTTTAGCATGTCTTCAGTTCTGTTTAGAGGACTTACCCGGAGGCACTGAGTTAGGTGTCTTGGGGGAGATTGGGGAGGTGACGGGCTGGAAGGGGCGATCTGGACTTAACTGCTGGAAAGAATCCCTACTGGCCTGTACTGTCTTCTCTGTAAAAGAATTTAACCGAGTCACTTTAGGGTTCGTTCAACTGAGCACATTCCAATCAGAATCATGTGGATTTAAGATTTCATGATCTGAAATGCATCTAAGACATACCAGATTTCTTCATAGGTAATTCTCCTCGCATTTCTAGATTACCTGTTCAAAATGTTGATAGAAAATGTGTTAGTAATTATGTTGTGGATTAGTATGAGAACAAACAGTTAGATTCGTACAATATGAGTAAGATTTTATATGGAAAGATCTAAATGTATTTTATATACGAATAACCACACATTTAAGAAATATGTATCACGATACAGTCACACATGATAAGAAAAAAAAGAAACTTTTTGGTTTTAACTTCATGGTAGAATCGTGGAAATTACTACAATGGATTAAAATCACAAGGGGCAAAGTTACTTACGTAAAAAGTCACCCAAACCTAAAGGTTGAGGTGAATCCAATTTTAACGGGGTAGGACGTGGTTTCTTTTCAGTGACGTCAGCTGTCACGTGATCATCAGATGCTAAGAATTTGATTGAAACCATAATGAAAGCGTGACAAGCAATATTCAGTACAAGATTAAGCAAGTCGATAAAAGAGATAGGAAAATATATGGTTCAGTATAGACTCTTCTTCAGTTTGAAAGGGATAGTTTTGGTAAAAACACAAACTGTATAGTAAGTTTTGCAATAAGCTGCTGTTATTTGTATACTTTCCACCAATTTTTATAATGAGCTTGCTTTAGTATTCCATCAACTGCTTTTGTTCAGAGTTAGATTTTGAAATAATGCATTTGGATCCAAAAAATTAAACGAACAATTCATCCAATCACCTGTAGTGTATAACGAAGGAGCATTATGAATTTAGGTGATATAATGGTCCGATATCTCTCTCTTCTGTGATTAAGATAAGAATATTAAACAAGAATGTATTTTACAATATATATTGCATGAAACTGAAACTGTACAGCTGAAATCATCCAGAAGCTAATTTGTCATGTAGAATCTTTTAAAAAATTCGGGTATTTTTTTTATTTCGAGTATCCATTAATGGAATAGGTACAAGGAATATAAAAAATATACCTCAAGTCAATAATATCAATATTCCCTACACTGAATGGTGACTTTGTTTTTAACAGTGTATGAAACACACTGAAAAGATGTTTTGAAAGAAAACATTTGAAATTAGTGTATATGCATTTGCTGTTAGTAGTTATGCTAGAGATTCCCTTTACCCAGTTGCAATAAAAGCAACACACGTTTGCACATATATACGTGAATCTACCAAAGGTCCAAACACAAACACTCAAATTTGGTTTGACCAAATATATAATATCATATATTCTTTATTAACACTTACGTTTAGCTCTGTTGAAAAAGGAACTTTTTTCTTCTGCGGCATTTTTGGGCAAACCGTTCATCATGGCGATTGTGCTGATATTTCTCTTCTCATCCATTGGCGCAGGAAGACTCGATTGTCTTTGGACTGGTTCTCTGGTCAGTGTTGATGTCGGCTGGACGCTCAGTTGTCGCATAGGAATCGAATCGCTGCTGCGCAATGCAGGCTGTGGAGGAGTTGTTGGTGTTGCAAAAGTGGTATTTCTCGAAGCTTCGCTGGGTGATGTTCGACTAGGCGAGCGAGAGTTTTCTTGGTTTAATGAAGAAACATACTCAGAGCGACCGGCTTTCATGGAAGACTCAGAGTGTCCGTTATGCAGGGGGCTCTGAGGTACCGGACTTTCCCTGGACGACACGTTTCCAATTCCGTTAATCAACTGTACAAACGAGTCATCACTCACTCCTCGTAAAAATCGTAATGCAACGTCGTCTTTTGCAGGAATAGATACATTAACATTTTTCAACTCAAGTATACGCCGTAGTATGATGTTTTTGAGGTTCAGGAACTCTGTTGCTGTTGTGTAAAGCAGCACTCGATTGGTAAAGTCTGTGGCAGTTTTGACATCGGTCGTGTAGGATTTCAAAGTTTTGACTTTCTCTTGTAAGTCTCTCTTTTTCACTTGACAGTGATTCTGAACCTCCATCTGCAGCTGATACCTCCTCTCGTTCAAGATTTTCTGGTATTTGTCAAAAATGGTGTCTATTTCCTGGCTTATTTGGGTTTCTGTTGATGCCAACTCGTCAACAACACGCTCTAACTGATCCACAGCCTCCGACATTGGTGTTCCACGGGCGTTGATCTCACGAATAACACTCTGCACAACCGTTTTAGAATCTTCATACACATCGCTCAAGTTGCGGATAAGATGACCATTGGTCTGATTGTGGTCGCAGACGGCACAAAGTGTACAGATTGGAACATCGCAGCCTCGTCTGTCACAGTAGAACGTGAATACCTGCTCCTCATGTCCAGGTTTGTTACACGTGTCTTTCCGATGGAATTCCCGAAGTCCAGAATCTTTCAAATCTCCAATCGATACCACTGTGTGCTTACGAGTGATTGCTGTCCTCTTGTGAGCAGCGGTGCATTCTGGACACATGAAATTGTAGCATTCCTTGCAAAACGCCGAGGCCGTGGATTCCTCGGGACAGTCCGTGCAGAGAATCTCGGAAGGCTTTCTTTGGATGCGAACAAAGTCTAAGTAATTTCGGCATGCGGTATCGAGAGGTAGTTCCTTGCTGGGGTCATTAGAAATTTCGGTTTGTGAGTGGCATTCTGGGCAGAAGATAAGCTTTCCGGAAACAATTCTTTCGAGGCAAGATGAACAACAGGTATGCAGACAGGATAGTACGTGGGGGGACCGCTTACTCTCGTCAAACTCATTGTGACATTGCGCGCAATTAGTGAATGTTGTGTTTTCCATTTTACCTAAAGCAAAGAGAATGTGATTGTGAATGTGAAATTCATTTTAATCGCCCGCTGAATGAAAGCCAATTTTTCCTCTTACATATCAAGTATATATATTGCGGTATTGATCAATGGAATTTTATCCAGGTAGTTTAAAGACTGAATCTATCTGTGGGCCAAAAAATGATAAGATCTATTGAGCCAGTTTAAAACATATCACATCTAGAAATATACAAACTACTCAATCAATTGATAAAATTTATCGATGCTTAACTTTTAGATGTGCTTAACACAACAAGAAAAGTAAGGTAAATACGATAATATACATGCCATGAAAAAGAGTCTCCAAGCTACGTTAAATTTATTTATGTAATGTGTATTCATTCATTTAATTAATCTAATTTTGCGGAATGTTTATTCTTTTGAGGTGTAGGACGCCTCTAAGGTAGGAGTAGGCTGTCTTCTTCGATTAACCTTTGTATTGGTCTTTTATTCGGGTATTATTGAATCGCTGGCCCCAGTTCAATGCTGCTTTTAAACTCAGAATGAAATGATGCAAAACAAATACTGTATTTCGTTGGAGGAAAAAGCACAATCGCACGCTTTAAATAACCAGGTTATTTACTATTTAGGTTTACAATTAACGTACATTTTTCTTGCAAAAGATTCATATAGTATTGTATTATTTGACAACCCTTTATTCAAGCCAATGAATATATGAATACCTTCTGCAGTTAATTATTAACAATTCTTTGAATCAATTGCATGCATGGATATAACTAGTCCCCTATATGGGAGGTATAGCTCATTATTTTTTCAAAACGGTTTGATGTATACCTGAAGAGAAAATGATATTGTTTTTGTAAAAGGCTTTATAAAAAAAACGGTCATTTAATAAAAAAAAACTTTTAAAATGAAACTATAGCATCATTTTATAGGGATGTCATAGATACTGCGACGGATATGATAACAAATTAATTAAACATTGAATAAAATTATTTAAAATTATATATTTTGTTTAGCCTGCTAGGTCCAGATGTAAAATTTTCACTACAGCGCTACACAGCTTGATTTTATATTGAAACAAGTCTGGACAAATTTACGCGGGAGTCTTCCATTGGTGCAGGGCTAATTATTTAGATAAACTTGATTATGTATAAGAATTGTGTCTAGCTGCATACATGATTTACATACATTTGTATAAAATTAAGTCAAACTTAATTGAAACTGTCACATAGGTATATTTTGAGGAGAGATCTGATTAAATATTTAAATGTCCCATGTTCGTAGGGAAGAGATAAACAAAAATATACTTACATATACAAACATAAATTCCGACGCACGTATGGGAAAAAATGCTCTTTCAAGCCATATCAATTTCTTTCGTCGTTTTCTCAATTGCTTTTGGATGGAATGAAGGAATTGCAGCAATGACTTCCAAATTGGTCAAAAACTTTTCAGGTGTAGTAGTAAATATATAAATGGGTTACTGGTATTTAAATCTGCAGGTACAACTCCAGTCCCTTTAAATCCCATGTACATTCAATAAAAACCAATTAAATAACAAAGTGGAAACTAAAATCTCAGGCGCAGGGTCAACAGCTTAATGATAAGTACAGATTACCAAAATTTCTATACCTAAGTGCACAGAAATAATATCTTATAATTAAAATAAATATTTAATACTTATGATCAATTAGCAAGCAGTCAAGAAACCATTCCGTGTATTCTGAACTTTAATGAAAATATTGATTCGTGCGAGTGTTTTTCTTCAGCAGGGTTTCATACAATTATAAGATACGACTTTTCTCAGTTTCCATTCCTTTCTTATTTTGGCTACAATGCCTTTAAAATTATTAAGGTAAAATGGGTGAGGTAGTACAAAATATCTTAACCCACAGGTGCTTGGGGACTGGACCCCCACCCCACCCCCCCCCCCCCCACACACACACACACACACTCCATCCGCACCCTCTCCGTGTTCCGTACTCCAAGGTTTCTTTGACCTTTTTGAAATAAAATATTTTTCTATGACATATACACACAGTATAACAACTGAAAAATCCAAACAGAACAGTTCTGTTTTAATATAAGAGTTTGAATTTTTATAAAAAGCTAGTTTTAGCTTAAATTTTGAATTTTTCAGATTTCGGATTTTTTATGCTGAAAAAAAAAATAGAATTTTTATACAAGGCTAGTTTTAGCTTAAATTTTGAATTTTTCAGATTTCGGATTTTTAATGCTGAAAATAAAATAAATCAAAGTCTTACAATATAACTAAAATGACATTGCTATTATGGAAGATATGTTTTCCCCTATGTAAATGCATTAATTCAACATATTTTAATAAAATAACATGGTACCAAATTAAAGGCCTATCTTTACCCCAGGGTCCCTTATTTGAAGGGGGGAAATTAAATCCTCAAAACTTTGGGATGCTAGCACATCAATAAAATGATTCCATAATTGTGTTTTTATGAGAATTTTTCAATATAAAACATTGATAACCTTTTGACAATTTTGGTTAAAATTGGTCCAGTCAGAAATATGTACAGTTTACTTCATGTGGAGATAATCTGATGATCAGATAAGATCAAATTCATAGCTCAGGTAAGCTAAAATTCTATTAAAATTTTCAAGATCAATTTTCTACACAGATTATTTCCAATAAAATGGCAAATACGTAAACACTTACAAAATTATTCTTCATTTATTTCTTAGATGTTGCTTGACAAAACACATTTATATACTAGTATACAAAATTATATTCCCTGATCACATTTCGAGTAGAAAGAAAAACCAATCATGTTTTTTAAAAATCAATTTAGTGTATCACCACTTTAATTCATTTAAAGAAGATAAATTTAAGATGACTGTTCAACAATTCTTTTTCTTTACATAAGTGTTACAAAGAATGTACAATGTTCTTGTTCATAGATCTAAAGAAGCATTGGTGTTCATATTAATAAAATCAATTTCCATTTAAATGCAATGTCATAATTCAACCTTCTTCTTAGTCAAGTATCAAAATGTACAATGCTATACTGGACAAATAACGGTTGACTATTGTCCATTTAATATAAAACAGCATATCTAAAACTGTATGGCAAGATTATCAGGATTAATGGCAATGCAATTGAATTATTCTCCTCTCTTTTTAGTCCAGCATATACATGATCAATACACACACATCTGCAGGCAAGCAATAGAGAACTTTCATGATCATCTGCTTGCCTTACTTGCAATTATTTGACAGCCAACTTTGACAAAAGCATCTTAGTTTGACTCTTTCAAAACATATTTACAGTCGCTTTATCATCAACAGCAATTAAAGCTCATCCTTTTACTGACTTGGATCAAATTCTGTGACCTTGACCTTTGACCTTCCATACCTCTGACGTCAACTTCGCTATATTTCCTGTACGTTCCCGCAGCTCTTCAAAATTATCGTATGCTGGAGGGCAGGGAGAATGTCTCCTTGACAGATTTGGTCTGAGCAGTCTTCTTGACCTTCTCTTTGTCCTTGACGAAACATTTCCACAATCTGATGGTCTCGTCAGCAGCAGCACTAGCCACCGTGGACCCACAGGGAGACATGGTGAGGCTCAGTACTCGGGCCTCATGTCCTGCAAAACACATTCAATACAGTATACAGGGAAATTTTTGCCCCCGTTTTATTTTCGCCCCTTTCACGCTACCCTCATTTTGGTGAATATAAAACGGGGCAAAATCAAGTAATACAGTAAATTCTTAAACAAAACTATGACTGGGCAAATTTAAAATGAAACAAAATTGTTTGCCAGTGTGAAAGGGTGAAAATAACACGGGGTGAAAATAACCTTGTATACAGTATATGGACCAAAGATTTATCCTTCTTCATAAAGAAGAAAGAACTCCAGATTTACAAATCAGGAAGATTAATAATATTCAAGTGTTGCGATGTATATGATATTCAATTCCTATTTTTATTCCTTTGGTTTCAATAAAAGTTTTTTTTTAATCAGATACAATTACTGTAGGCAAGTTACAATACATGCATATTTTCTTTAATCATGATATCAAAAATATACTGAACTTATTTTAAACAGTTTAACATGTTAACAAATACTATAAATGTATTATATTCAGGGTGTACTTTGTTTGTAACAAGACACTTAGCATTGTACTTGAATTAGAGAATGTTTCTTTCCACCAAAATTGCTAAATAGAATACACAGCTAATGTAATACATTTACCATTATGCAAAACCACTTTTCCGTACCTGTAGGTACACCAGTAATGTTTTGAAAAGTGAGTTTACGTACTCTTCATTTATCATTAATTTTGAGAAAGATTTTAGTAACCCCACATACTGGCAAAGTTTGAGTGTATATTTTACTTTTTTTCAGCTAAATATAAATGACATAAAATTCAAAGTGAAATGTTCACTTGTCATCACGAAATGAAAATAGTACTTAATTAATTAAAATAATGGAAAGAAAAAAAACCTACGGACCTGTGAGTTCAGCAATTCTGTTCATCTGAGGGTACTTCCATATGGTCAGCTGGTTCTGGGAGTAGCCGTGACCTGAGATCATTTCTTTGTACTCACTGGACCACAGTATAGAACACACCTGGTAGTGAAGAAAATGTATCAATATATTTCCAAAAATTTTCAGAAAAGACTTCTGACTCTTATGACTACCTAAACATATTTGTATATGGCAAAACATGTAGTGTATCATTTGATGAAATACATTTTTAAAGATAAAAGTCTTATAGTATGAAAGTTTGTGTCGTCAACTGTATTTACAACCCCTGGCACTTTCCAATTAGATAATCTTTAGGCCATAATAAAAATATTCCTAGATTCTCATCCCCGCCCGCCCCGATTTTATACCCCCGCCTCGATTTTTTTTATTTCTGTTTTTCTTCGTCTTAATTCTGATCGGGATCGGTATTCATCTACCATTCCACTTTCGTTTTAAATCCCGCGAAAGTCGACATGATTTTGACAGCTGAAAAGATGATAATTGCTGTAATACATGCATATATATTTTAATCAAGGGTCATTGGTTGAAAAAGATTGGTGATGATGTGAAGTAAGAGATAATTAAACCTTTACTATGACTTTTATTCGGGTATTGTAGATAAAATTACACCGATTGACCAGGTCAATAAAAAATCTGCAAAATTGAAAAAATAAAAAATATAAAATAAAAGCCGCCCGCCCGCCTCGATTTTTAAAAACATTTGGATGAGAATCTAGTAATTTATTTATTATGGCCTTATTACCCACAAATATGAATTATTTACCTGTGAGTTTGTGTCTATGGCATCAACACACGCCCCATTAGAGATGTTGTATTTACCTGTGAGTTTGTGTCTATGGCATTAACACACGCCCCATTAGAGATGTTGTATTTACCTGTGAGTTTGTGTCTACAGCATTAATAGAGGCAATGTTAGAGATGTATTTACCTGTGAGTTTGTGTCTATGGCATTAACACACGCCCCATTAGAGATATTGTATTTACCTGTGAGTTTGTGTCTATGGCATCAACACACGCCCCATTAGAGATGTTGTATTTACCTGTGAGTTTGTGTCTACAGCATTAATAGAGGCCCTGTTAGAGATGTATTTACCTGTGAGTTTGTGTCTATGGCATTAATAGAGGCAATGTTAGAGATGTATTTACCTGTGAGTTTGTGTCTATGGCATTAACACACGCTCCATTAGAGATGTTGTATTTACCTGTGAGTTTGTGTCTATGGCATTAACACACGCCCCATTAGAGATGTTGTATTTACCTGTGAGTTAGTGTCTATGGCATTAACACACGCTCCATTAGAGATGTTGTATTTACCTGTGAGTTTGTGTCTATTGCATTAACACATGCCCCATTAGAGATGTTGTATTTACCTGTGAGTTTGTGTCTACAGCATTAATAGAGGCCCTGTTAGAGATGTATTTACCTGTGAGTTTTTTGTCTATGGCATTAACACACGCCCCATTTGAGATGTTGTGTTTACCTGTGAGTTTGTGTCTATTACCTGTATGTTTGTGTCTATAGCATTAACACACGCCCCATTAGAGATGTTGTATTTACCTGTGAGTTTGTGTCTATGGCATTAACACACACCCCATTTGAGATGTTGTATTTACCTGTGAGTTTGTGTCTATGGCATTAACACACACCCCATTTGAGATGTTGTATTTACCTGTGAGTTTGTGTCTATTACCTGTATGTTTGTGTCTATAGCATTAACACACGCCCCATTAGAGATGTTGTATTTACCTGTGAGTTTGTGTCTATTACCTGTGAGTTTGTGTCTATAGCATTAACACACGCCCCATTAGAGATGTTGTATTTACCTGTGAGTTTGTGTCTACAGCATTAATAGAGGCCCTGTTAGAGATGTATTTACCTGTGAGTTTGTGTCTATAGCATTAACACACGCCCCATTAGAGATGTTCCACAGTCTGATGTGACGGTCTGCAGTTCCTCCTCCAGAGGCCAACAACACAGGGTTCCAGGGACACCATGCTAAAGCCTTACAAACAGAACCAGGGTTTAGATTAGGATTACTTTCTTAGACAAAAGTCTAATAAAGATAAAAGATTAACTTGTTAAAAAAAATTTTAGCCTGCATTCTTAGACCCTAGTCAGGCAGGGACAGGTGCAGAAATCACCAAAAACATGTCGGATATTCAATTCTCATAATTAAAACAATCACTCTTCTATTTTGAGGTTTTCGCAAAATTTTGTAATTTAATTCGAAGCAATGTATTAATTTACAGAACTTTAAATATGAGATATATTTGAAATATATGTGTTTATTACATTTTTACCCGTGAAATACTGTAATTTATTCATTGAATAAAAATGATATCCTGTCACAGTGTGAAAGGATATCAAAATGATATCCTGTCACAGAGTGACGAATATCAGAAGTGCGGGAAAACTCTCAATTTCTCTTCCCATAAGGAAGATTGTTGTAAAAAAATCTTCCTTGACCTAATATAAGATAGACTGAAATAAATAAACCATTTTTACAGGGAATTAAACTGTCAAAATTACGAAAAATATGTTGATAAATACATGTTTACAGTGTTTTCACCTCACTACCTATGACGTCTCAACCGCTCAACTATGACATCATGTAGCCTATGACTGTATTACAAAAAGACAGAGGCAAAAGGAAAATCATAGATTTTTTTTTTTAAATGAAATAAACAGAAAATTCGATGTTTTGTAGTTGAATATGGAATTTATTTCACTCGTGAGACAGGATTTTTTGATATTTTCACTCGTGCTTCGCACTCGTGAAAATATCAAAAATTTTGTAATTTACTCGTGAAATAAATTCCATATTCAACTACAAAACATTGAATATCCTCTATTTATCATTTACATACCTTTACTGCCGCAAGATGATGTGTGAATGTCTGAAGAGGTACAACACCCTCCAAAGCTAAGGTGGTGTCCCATACATTGACCACATTATCATTGCCTCCGCTCGCCAAGTGGCGCCCATCTGGTGACCACGTTAAGCCACAAATTTCCTGGGTGTGCTCGATCAAAGAGCCGACATGATGTTCAGGAACACGTACGTCGTGGTGATGAATGGCTCCAGATCTTGATCCACTGTATAATTCAAATAAGACCCAATAGTTACAAAGCTTAGAACAAAGAAACACATAATGTACAGAAAACCACTGATGCTGCCGCAATCTGAGCTCAGCTAATATGGTTAATATTTCAATACTTTTCCTCTACAGTATCAATGTACAAATATTAATGCTACAATCAACAGTCTCCCTGTTCTTGTATTTGATATATTCTTAAATATTTGATAAACAACCAATATACATAGCTATGCTAGAGCAATCTTATATTTCAATCCATCTTTTACTTATCAAAATATCATAATAATTAATTTTTAAAAAGTTAATGAAAATATTAAAATAAATATTCAAATGTATAAAAATAAATTGTTTCCACCTGCTGACAATGTGAGAATTCCAGGACAGAGAGCCAACTCTAGCAGCATGACCAGTCATCTGTCTCAGGAGTTTCTCAGCCTCTGTGTCCCACAGCTATAAGACATAGACACAACAGTATTTCACACCACTGTCGTATTTGTAGTTTAGTCAAGGACTTGTCAATGCATCACAATTTTGCATTAAAAAAAATTAATTACAAAATACTTGATATTCCCTAACGCTCAAAAAACTTGATCTTGTGATTTCATAAAATAAATATAGGATGAAACAAATATTCAAGGCAAATTTGAATATTAATCCCCAGAGATTTATAGAGAGCATCTTGTAAACTAAGGTTGAGTATGAGTATAAGCCCTACAATTTTCCAATTCAAATTTCCCTGGTTTCCTGATAGTCTGTCTATTCATCAGAGCAAAAATCTGTTTTTCACCAGAAATTGCTAAGTTGTCTAAGATTTATCATTTTCCCAATAAACATTTTATCTGACTGACCTGTACAGCCCCAGAATTTGTCCCCACAGCTAATATTCCTCCCTCGGGGGTCCAGGACAGCCCTGTTATATAATCATTTTCTGACTGCATATTCAGGAGTTGGGAGATGGTACATGTTGTTGCATTCCAAAGGTAGATTGAAGTTCCCAAGGCAACGGCTAAAATATTTGAGGTGGACCAGTCAAGGAGATTCAGATCTGTAATGAATTACAAATAATTTAAATTATACATATTATATTTGCATATCCACTGCTCTCCCCCACTATGAATCTGCAGGCTTCCACTGAGTTCATAGCACTATAGACACAACTGCTCCTGCTATGAGTGCAATTGCTCTATCACTCTCGTGTAGAACAACCTCTACCACACTTCTAAATCGTGTTGAGAAGTATATATATGAAATGTTTCATAAGAGGAGTAAAAATAAGTTTTTATTAATAATATTCTTTGAAGAAAAGGAAATTCAGAATATTTAAAATTGCTGATTTACATTTTTTAAAATTCAATTTTGGTCAATGTATTTAATTGTATAATAAAACTTTTCAAAAATTGTAGAGAACTGTCATATTTTTATTTTTCGTATCATGTATATTTGTTCAAAGAACGATAACTCTTCATACTTGGGTAATGACATTCAGAAAGAGAAAATTTCTTTAACTAGTATATCTACTTCAAGAATGATTTCAGCTACTAAAAATATATAGAAAGACTAAAAAAAAAATCATAGAAAAGCATTCTGGAGTAACAATCATTATAAAAGCATTCTCATTTTTCATCATAGTGTTAAATTATTGATTTTTGTCAGAGGTTTTCAATAACGTTGATCGATGACGTCACAACTGCATCAAAACAAAAATTAAGAGAATGTGATGACGGCGCTGCTTGTATCCAGATAACTGTGTTTGAGAGGGAAATACTTAATTTATTATACTTCTGTTAAAATGTTTCCTATATAAAGTTCAGAGGGTAAAATAACTATCCTGTATAGTCCATGCATAGCAAAGCTATACCCCGGGGTATAGTTTTAGCTATCCACCCTCGGAAAATTTTCATGCAATTGTTGCCGCCAATTTTGATTTCCAGCGATAAATCTTTAAACTGATGATGTCATAATGACTTCAGTTGCATTGTGACGTCATCAGGATTTCAGATTATTCTTGCAGAATTATCTTACTCCAAAAAATTCAAATCCCAGAAATTATATTATACATCAGTATAATAAAACGCTTATCCACTGGTTGTGAGTGGGATAGCTCTTTTATCAAACCCTTGACAGAAACTATTCCCCTCGGGCAAGCCCTCGGGGAATAGTTCTCTGTCGCGGGTTTGATAAAAGAGCTATCCCACTCACACCCAGTGGATAAGTGTATAATATTCTTTGTGATTTATTAGAGAAAAGGATCATTGATCATTGATCAGGTGTACTGAAGACAAGAAGCCGCGTCTTTATGCAAGTCAGGATTTCCTCTGATATTCTTGAAAAACTTAAAGAATGCAAATATAATTAATAAACAACGATTATTCAGTGAACATGGCATTATGAATAGCAATAGCTCTGCTGGCATATTTTCCATGATGCGCTAACGCGCATCATGGAATATGCCAGCAGAGCTATTGCTATTCATAACGCCATGTTCACTGAATAACGTTTATTTCTTAGATAATATACATTTTCACAATACACAGAGATTTATATATGCAATAAACATAGGTAATCAGAGATTACAGAGCTCACCTCAACGAATGTTGTCTTTAAGTAAGGCAAATTAAGTCACACAATTAACCAACAAAAAGTGTACATCCAAAAATGCAAAATTTATGCAATTTTGATACTTTGGAATAGACCTATATAAAAACTTAAAACTAGTTCTTCATCATGAAAATGTAATTAAAATCCAGCATCTGAAGCAAGATTGAGAGTTTTCATCCCTTGATGCATCATTTGTGCAACTTTGGTTTATATAAGCCTTATAGTTTCTTGGTGATAGACCTGCACCCATAACTTTTACAAGGTCTATTATCTGGAAAATGTATGTTGAATTCAGCATCTGAAGCAAGTCCATTAGTGTGCATCCTAAGATGTATCATCCATGCAAGTTTTTTCAACATAGAGCTCAAAGTTACTTGGAAATGAAACCTGTATAAAAAACTAACGTTTTCACTAATCCGGAAAATGTAGGTCAGATTCAGCTTCTGAAGCCAGCCTAGTAGAATGCACCCTTAGATGTACCATCCATGCAAGTTTGGTCATTATAGGGCTCAAAGTTACTTGGAAATGAATCCTGCACCATAAACTTTAACTTGTTTACTCGACCGGAAGGTCAGATTCAGCATCCGAAGCAAGTCCGGTAGTATGCATCCTAAGATGTACCATCCAGGCAAGTTTAGTCATTATAGGGTTCATAGTACCTTGGAAATGAAAACTGCACCAAAAATTTTAACCTGTTCACTCAGCCGGAAAATGTACGTCAGATTCAGCATCCAAAGTCTAGTCTAGTAGAATGCATCCTAAGATGTACCATCCATGCAAGTTTGGTCATTATATGTCTCATAGTAACTTGGAAATGAAACCTGCACCAAAGACTTTAACCTGTTCACTCAACCGGAAAATGTAGGTCAGATTCAGCATCCAAAGCAAGTCTGGTAGTATGCATCCTAAGATGTACCATCCATGCAAGTTTGGTCATTATAGGGCTCATAGTATCTTCGAAATGAAACCTGCACCAAAAACTTTAACCTGTTCTCTCAACCGGAAAATGTAGGTCAGATTCAGCATCCGAAGCAAGTCTGGTAGTATGCATCCTAAGATGTATTATCCATGTAAGTTTTGTCAACATAGGGCTTATAGTTACTCGGAAATGAGACCTACACCAAAAACTGCACCAAAAATGTTAACCTGCACCAAAAACATTAACCTGGTCATTCCTTTGCTGAAATTGCAGCATCTGAAACTTTGACTGGTACAATGAAACACATTAGAAACATCTTCCATGCATGTCTAATCAATATAGGACATAGAAGTACTTAAAAAGAAAACTGCTCCAAAAACCTTAACCTTAACCCGGGACGCCGACACCGAAGCCGAGGGTATCACATAAGCTCCCCCCAACTTCGTTGAGGTGAGCTAAAAATCAAATCGCACCATTCTGAATTTCGTTCAATAAAATTTCTAATATCATTTTAATTTTCCTCTGTTGTCTTAACTTGTACCTGACTTTCAAGTGCAGATAGAAATGAAAGAATATTTTAATTTACAGTACTTTGCCAATTTTTTTCCTTAATGTTTATTTTTTTCATCTTTCTTACCAAATAACCTCCTGGTCTGTATGCTAGGCAATAATACTTTTAATGCCCACGTAAACCAAGTTTTGGGGGTATATAGTTTCCCTGTCCTTTCGTCTGTCTGTCTGTTTGTCTGTAAAAATATTAACCTTGCACATAACTTTTGATTTGGTGGGGCTATGTCTTTCATATTTCACAGGTGTATTCCTTATGACAAGACCTTTCTTTTAGGTACCAACAAATTTGATCTTTCAACCTTGGAGTTTGACCCATTTTACAAAAAAAAAACCCACACTTTAACCTTGGCCATAATTTCTGAACAGTTAGAGCTACAGTTTTCATACTTCACATGTGTATTCATTGTGACAAGACCTTTCAGTGGGTTTAAATATTTTTTACCTTTTCAGCTTGACCTTAGAGTTTGACCCACTTTTTAAATACCTTTAACCTTGGCTATAACTTTTGAACAGTTAGAACTAGAAAAAACTAGAAAAACCCACGTGAAACCAATATGGCTGCCCAAACATAAACTGAGGTAACCAGATGTTGGGTATTAGAGAGTGGGTTAAGGGAAGATAACTCGTTCTTAAAATAATTCGGGCATAGTAGTAGGAGTCCGTGACATATTGCTAATTGTTCGATGCAGGTAAGTATAGATACTGAAATAAACTAGAAATAAGTTCAGTATTGAAAAGTTCAATTGTCTCACCCTATTCCAGGAGGTGCAAGGTAGGGGGACATGAACGAACTGTAAATTGTACTTACAATAGTCATCCAGAAGTTCGGGTGCGTCCAATATTCTGTCAGGTTGCTGTGGAATATTGCGAGATGTTGACTTAGGAGCCGTTGTTTTGTGACAGGAATACAAAACTTTCATTCTGTTGTTGTGACCTGTAAAGAACAAATGACCATATAATACATTTTCATACATAAGAAGGGGGTTAGGGGGTTAAGTTTTGCCATAAAAAGACATACACTATCCTGGCTGTTCAAAAGTATAATAGTCCATGCACATACATGTATATTATTATAAAAAGAATACAAAACAAAGAAAAGCTGGAGACCAACACCTTGAGGTTAAAATTGCGGAAGATTCTCACGTGTGGATACCGAAAGGTATTCAATAGGGTCTGCAACTAAAGTTGTAAACTTAAAAGTATAAAACAGATCACCAACACTTCGTGAGAATGCAGCAGTAAATTTATTTTGTTGACCGGTTTCAACCTGTGACAGTCGTCATCAGAACAATCAAGCATGTAAATTTATCTACTGAAGTAAACCAGAAGTCTCTGTCGAGACTGTAGCTCTACTGGTTTGTACTTATCAAAAACCATTGCACTATTTTATGTATCTTTGTGTAGTCTACTTATGTGCCAACTTATTTTGAAATCAGACAAAAACTGTAGAAGGAGTAGAGTTTTTAAGGAATTCCACAGAAAATTCTATAATTTTGAGTAACCATAGCAATACCGTTCATCGAAATCAAAAACCGATGCACTATTCTATGTATCTTAGTGTAGTCTACTTGTGTGCCAAGTTATATTGAAATCAGACCAAAACTGTAGAAGGAGTAGCGCTTTAAAGGAATTTCACAGAAAATTCTATTTTAAGTAACCATGGCAACACCGTTCATCGAAATCAAAAACCGATGCACTATTCTATGTATCTTAGTGTAGTCTACTTGTCTGCCAAGTTATATTGAAATCAGACAAAAACTGTACAAGGAGTAGCGTTTTTAAGGAATTTCAGAGAAAATTCTATTTTTAGTAACCATGGCAACACCGTTCATCGAAATCAAAAACCAATGCACTATTCTATGTATCTTAGTGTAGTCTACTTGTGTGCCAAGTTATATTGAAATCAGACAAAAACTGTAGAAGGAGTAGCGTTTTAAAGGAATTTCACAGAAAATTCTATTTTTAGTAACCATGGCAACACCGTTCATCGAAATCAAAAACCGATGCACTATTCTATGTATCTAAGTGTAGTCTACTTGTGTACCAAGTTATACTGAAATCAGACAAAAACTGTAGAAGGAGTAGCGTTTTAAAGGAATTTTACAGAAAATTCTATTTTTAGTAACCATGGCAACACCGTTCATCGAAATCAAAAACTGATGCACTATTCTATGTATCTTAGTGTAGTCTACTTGTGTGCCAAGTTATATTGAAATCAGACAAAAACTGTAGAAGGAGTAGCGTTTTAAAGGAATTTCACAGAAAATTCTATTTTTAGTAACCATGGCAACAACGTTCATCGAAATCAAAAATTGATGCACTATTCTATGTATCTTAGTGTAGTCTACTTGTGTGCCAAGTTATATTGAAATCAGACCAAAACTGTAGAAGGAGTAGCGTTTTTAAGGAATTTCACAGAAAATTCTATTTTTAGTAACCATGGCAACACCGTTCATCGAAATCAAAAACTGATGCACTATTCTATGTATCTTAGTGTAGTCTACTTGTGTGCCAAGTTATACTGAAATCAAACTAAAATTGTAGGAGGAGTAGCGTTTTGAAAAATTGTTTACAGACGGACAGACAGACAGACGGACGGACGCCGGACGCATTACTATCGCATAAGCTCTTCTGGTCTCTGACCAGTAGAGCTAAAAATGCGGATGATGTTGCTATATACACAAAAAATGCGGATGAAGTTGCTATATACAAGATAAAATGCTGAGTGTTTTGTACATATGCGGACTTGCTTAACTATGGTACTTTGTACAAGATATAATTAATTTACGTTTCCTCTAAAGTTTTTCTGACTTAAGATTTAGGATTTAAGATTATTATAAAAAGAAACAAAAACTACTCTCTAGTCATCATCACAAGCCTTGGGTATTGTGCCCAAATATGTTGCCATCTACTACATTTTCTCATTCTCAAAAATATAAACAAATACATAACAATCCAAATCTAATGATATCATGGCTAATTCAACCATATAAGTGATAAAAAGATATCATTTGAAGCTTCTGAACTATTTTTCTTGTATTATGACGTGAGGCTGTACTTAAAACTTAATCTGAAACAAGTATGTAACCTACTGAACCTACTCAGATCCTGACATCAGGATTTTAAATCAAAAGCGAATTCAAACAAACAGGTATATTTGTTATTGAAGACTTCCTTGTCCATGATATTTTTTCAATGATATTAAAAGGAATGAACTTATACCTGTGGCTGCTGGACATTTGTTGTGTAGTGCCAGAATTTTGGTGTCCTGTGGATTCTCTCCCTTGTTCAGCACGTCGTTCAGTTGCGTTTGATAAGGGGCTTTAGATGGGGACCAGTCAGGGTCATTTTCCTCATTTTCTCCCTTTTCCTTCATGATCGCAAAATGGCTGAGATCAATGTCTTGAGAAGACCGACTTGGTATAAACCTAATATTCCAGTAAAAAGAAATCACATCGATCATTTCATAAATAACCATTACCTACTGTGGTTTCAGCAATATTCGTTGAGCACCAATTTTCGTTCTTGAGCAGATTCAGGAATTTAATGTTCATAAATGTCATTGAATTGAGAAATGTTAGTATTATTTATTTGTATAGACAATGCTTTCGTCCATGAGATTATGTATCCTCGAAAACGTCTGTTTTACAAAATCCATGAAAATTGATGGCAACGAAAATTGATGAAACCACAGTATTTAGACATCAGGTAAATGGACATCTGATGTTTCTTTCCTTTCCTATCCATGAATTTCATTTCATGCAAATAAGGTATGGATCTTTTGAGTGGCAGAAATACTGCTTTTTAAAAATATTGCATTGATTTTCACTTTTATTATTAGGAGTTTTTAAAACAGTGAGTGAACAATAATTTATTAAAAAAAAAGAAAAAAAAAAGAAAAAAAAAAAAGAAAACGAATAGTGGGAAAAGGAAGAGTGGATAAAAAATTTGGTTATAAAAACCCAAGTGACATTGGTCAATGAACATGAATTAAACATGGATATTTAGTAAACACATCTGGGACCAAAGACAATAAAATATTTTAAGATGAAACATTTTCAGTATCTTTGAGTTATAACCTGTCTGGTCCTGATTGTTTGTTGGGGGTTTTGCTTGGCGTCTTTCCTTTCTGTTTTGAAATTTTTTCATATTTTCCTGGTGTTTTGGAGACAGACAAAGTTTTACCAGCTTTTCCTGAATTTTCACTTGATTTTGGTCTTGGCGAAAGTCCTAAAATAAAGGATATTTTTTAATTACTAATAGTATGTACATAAAAAATACAAAATGTGATATTAAATTTAGTAAAGACATGAAAAATGTACTAATGCAGGAAAAAAGAATCCAAATTATGTACAGTCTTTAATAATATAATTCAGTAGAACATGCATATAGCAAACATGCTTAAAATGAAATACACTTGGTTTTGAATAGTCTTATGAACTTAACAATTACAACAAATAATGTTTATAGTGAAGCAAAATTGGCCATCACTGGCACTTCTTAATTAGCATGTTTTACTTTATGTGTTATTTAGTATATTAAAAGGAAAAGTGTGAATTCACTGTGAAATGGAAGAAGTATCAAGAAAAGTTTTTTCATGGTGTGCACTGAATTTATTTCCAGCCTAAAATTAAATTTCACTCAATTATTGTTAAATTAATTTATTCTTTACCAGTGCTAGAATCTGATCCTTTCTGACCTCTCAATAATGATTCAATTGCCTTTCTTTCATATCGACTTTTTGGCCCATGCTGCAAAGGTGCATCAAGTCTGGTTGCCTCACTCAACATATTCTCAAAGTTAAAGTGTGACATGTTTACAGCTTATCTGAAATTCAAAAAAAAATTGGTGAAAATCAAAAACAATTGGAGTGGATGAGGAATATCATTTTAATCAAAGTCCTCTCCTAGAAATGCCTAGATAGTACATAAGTTTGCCTAACTCATAAACTGATCAATGTTACATGTACTTGTATATTCAATATGCACAAGATTAATTATATGATAAAAAAAAATTGCCAAACAATGCAATTAATTTTGCATTTCAATACATGTATATTTTGAGATAAAATGTCACAAATGGAATATACAGTAAAACTTGGTTATGGCGAAGTCAATGGGACCTATGAAATTACTTCGTTTTAATCATAATTCATTATATCCGTATACAGAATTCTTTAAATTTACATAGCTGGGGATCCAAGATAACTTCCCTTTATCTGTGAATTCGCAATATCCGTGTTCGTACTAAACAAGTTTTACTGTAAATTTATGGTGCAATTTGAATGTGATAGTTTTACTTAATCCACAAAAACATGTACATTTGACATCCTCGCAATGACAGGGGTCCTGAGTCAACATGTTGCCGTTGGACCCCTGGCATATTTCATTATTAGTGGGCTGACTAAAGCGTCGTCTTTTGGAAAAATTACAAATCTTGATTGTTTTTCTTATCTCTCAACCAATCACATTAAGCAATTCCATGATAAGGCCATTCCAAGTTTTTTCTCTGTTTAGCGTCCACCCATCTTTCAAAAACCTAGCTACCTACTCACAAAAAACACACAAGTCAAAAAAAAAAAAAAAACACATATTTTATACTAATAAGAATGACGTAATTCAAAACATATGATTTCATTTATCTATTTTTCATAAAGACAGTTATTTTCTTCTGCAAAATCAAGGTATTAAATACTGAAACTATTCCAAAAATGAAATATTATACAAAGATTTAGAGATATTGCCGGAAATCACAAATTTTGACCTAAATAATTAATTTTCAGACTCCTGATTCTGTTTGTTTTTTTCTGACATGGGGTGTCAAAAACCAAGGCGCACGCAGACGCTAAACATACAAAAAACTTGGAATGGCCTAAACAACTTGTAACACGTTTTTGAATCCTTTACACGTATCGAACTGTTTATGAAACCTTTAATTTGATTGGTGCTTCTCAATGAGAGAAGCAAGCCCTAAAATATCTAATGTAATATGTCAGGGGCCCAACGGCAACGTATGCGTTGACTCAGGCAATGTCAGACACCTCGGCCCAACGACATCTCAATTCAGATAGTGAATGAATTTTTTCTATCACAAATTTGCTTGGGCTGAGGTGTTTTTTATATGGGCCGACGAGTCAATAATTTTGGGCCGATCTTTAGGGCCGAGATGTCAACAATCACAGACCGAGGTGTCGATGGGCCGAGATGTCTGTCTACCGACTCAGGAACCCTGGCATTGTGAGGATGATACATTGAATGCATGCAGGTTTGTATAAGACAAGTTTGATGATCCCTAGAATATGGAATCAATGTTTTAGTTATAAACAGTAGGGAATACAGAGAAAATTGCTGTACCTATGGCTGTGGCTTTTCATTGTGAATATATTGTATAATATGTTCAGTTTTTATAAAGATTAATAGTAAAATACATTCTCTTCAATTTTTTGCACTGTAAATCTCTATCACATTTGGTACATTATACAGGTTGGGTACAGTTCCTTTTTCGGGGAAGTATTACTTTAAAAGGGAACTATTACTCTTTTCAAAACCTGTTATATTCAAAATATCCAATTCACATCCATTTTATGACAATATTGGTCTGAATTGTTTCAAAGTTCAAACAATTAGGCTATGCATTGCAGTAGTTGTTAATTTTTTTGGCCTCTGGCTAATCTCGGTGGAGATTCTACTGGGCTATATATTTGGTCTGTGGGCGTCCCAGATCAAATATCTAGCCCAGCAGAATCTCCACCGTAGCCTACGGCCAATGCATCCGTGGTTCAATCTATTTATGTCAAACAAGGGGTAGATCTTTACACATACTATCTTCTCATACCAACCGTGTTTCCACCGCTAATTTGAAAGTCAATAATTCATTAAATAACTTGAGGTGCAGTGTTCAAACTCTGTTTACTGTTGTTCAAGACTTGAATACTTGTCATTTTCCCGCAATATGATCACGTGACTATTTTGGGATTTCGAGCCCGACGATTTTTTTGGCACAAGCTTTTCCTATTTGTTTGTCAACTCATGAACAATATTTTCAAAAAAAGTTACCTTTTAAAAGCTGTTTTTCACATGTAATTAATAAATTAATAAGACTGCATATACGGATCTAATAGGGAGTTAATGGCATCCCCTTGGGATTTTCAGAATATATTTTATTCTTTATATAGACGGTAGGCCTATTTCTTTCCGTGTAATTTTTATGAAGGAATGCTCCCCCTCTCAAAACAAGGAGTTTTTCCGGTTTAAGCGACCCAATGTCAGGTTAACTACACCTGTATTTAAAAAAATATTTTGTCGCTGGAAAAAATTCTTCGATCTTCACATGAATTTCACATTAATTCAACGTAATCAAAGCGACAAGAAACGTACAACATATAACGTCTTGTGACATGCAATGTAGGAATATCAAAAAAAAAAAAAAAAAATTCAGGCGGTCCACCCCAGTAAAAAAAATCCAAGGTAGAAACTTGATAAGCAAAAAAAAAAAAAAAAAAAAAAAAAAAAAAAAAAAAAATTTAAGAGGGTGATAAACTACCCATACCCATGTCCGTCTCCGCACACAAACGAACTCCAGATGGCAGACGGAAGTTTGCTTTCAAACCTTCATCTCTATGACTTTTATTACCAACTAGATCTGCGTATGAGAAATTAAGTTTATGAAGAGAAAAAAATAGGAAATGAATACCAAAAACCAAACAAACAAACAAATATGTTATCATATCTCAGGAATACATAGCCACGTAGCGTCGTTTTTGAAACGGGGGGGGGGGGCAGCTAGAGAGAAAGTTTTTTTTACTTACTTGAAAAAGTTGACAAAAAAAAAAAACCAACAATAACAATTGCCCAAACTCGAAAATCCTATTTCGTGGGGTGGGGGGGGGGGGGGAGGGGGGGGGGGGTAAAGCCAACTTTTTTCAATGCCAACTTCTTTCATTACTCATTTTTTCATATTCAACACTACATTTCCCTTAAATCACTTTCCTGTAGTATAAAGTGTGTGTGTGTGTGGGGGTGGGGGTCAACCAGCCTTTCACTGAAAATTTCCAAGAGTAAAAGTAATGTTGGGAAAAAAGTGGGGGGGGGGGGGAGCCCCCCCCCCCCCCCCCGTTGCTACGTGCCTGATACATGTGTAGATGGCTCCAGGATTTTGTGTTGAGGAGGGAGTCTGGCGTATACATTGTAGGAAGAAGCCTTTAATTAACACTCTTTCTTCGAACTTCTGGTTGACACTTCAATTTTTTTAGTACTGTTTGGTGATATAATTAATTTGATGAGGAAAGCTAGCGTACTGAGTGATAACATTTTAAAAATATTTAACCACACATTCCTTTTTTAATAAATCCTCCGCTAATTTTTTAGATAAATTTAAATTGTCACAAAACTAAAACGATCACATTATTCAAATGTTTTTTTCCTGCTATAATTACTGAAAATTTTAACAGCCAGTAAATTGTTATATTCAATTGTCTTTCTTGTCTTGTACCAGATTAGCTGCAACAATGCAATTTTTATTCTTGGGGGGGGGGGGGGCGCAGATTTTTAAAAAGTCGGGGATGGCTACATTACTGCAGTAAGCCACTGATACACCCCAGAATCATGTTTCAATATCTCTATAAGACACCACAGGTGCTTGAGGATAGACCCCCCAACCACACCCCAGTTTAGATCCCAAGCCTTTTTGACTTTTTTTTTTACATAGATTATATATATAGATGACACATTTGTAAAATTTATTCTATCAATTCAGAAAAATTGCTTTAACAAACATTTTATAAAAATTTCTATCCCATTTCTACCCCAAATATAAATTAACCCTTGTTAATTTTATAGAATCAGAGACATATAAAACGTTTGGTTTAGGTAGTTTTTCAAATTGTTGGTATAGATTTTATCACAAATATGTCATTGAAAGATAATTGATGAGAAAAAAAGTCGAAAAGGCCAGGGGTCTTTATCGAAAGGGGGGTCCTGTCCTCAAGCACCTGTGTATATAAGACACAAAAATGTACTAAAAGATCTCCAGTTGGGGGTTAATAAAAAGATTGACCCAATATCAATATGAATATGTCTGATTGAAAACTACAGAACATTTCTTCCTAGAATGAATCATCCCCCCTCTCTCTCCCTGCCTCCCTCCCTCTCTCTCTCTCTCTCTATTAGAATTTAAGAAAACAAATATATTTGTCGAAATACAATTTACTTTAGATAATAAAAAATGTTGTTGACCCAATTTCGACAATTCTAAATTTAAACTGTTTACCATACCATAAAGCTATCCTTGAAAGTTAAAAAAAATAATGCGTAGTTAAATACATGTAGTATGGCGGAGTGTAGTTGTAACTGAGAAATGTAAAATTAAGTTTTCATACCAGTCGTGTGAGCGTGTGTCGTCCTTATCTAGTATAGCCTTTTCCATGGAATTACTAACCAATTACAACCCATTTTTAGCTCACCTGAGCCGAAGGCTCAAGTGAGCTTTTCTGATCAAAATTTGTCCGTTGTCTGTCGTTGTCGTTGTCGCCCTTTATTATGAATTAGTGAAAAAATTAATGGCATTTAAAAAAAATCTTCTTCTCAAGAACCACTGGGCCAAGATAGATGAAACTCATGTGGAATCATCCACAGGTAGTGTAGATTCAAGTTTCTTCAAATCATGACCCCCGGGGGTAGGGTGGGGCCAAAATGGCCGATCAAAGTTTTACATAGGAATATATAGGAAAAATCTTTATAAATCTTCTTCTCAAGAACCACTGGGCCAGGAACTATGAAACTCATGTGGAATCATCCTCAGGTAGTGTAGATTCAAGTTTGTTGAAATCATGACCCCCGGGGGTAGGGTGGGGCCAAAATGGCTGATCAAAGTTTTTCATAAGAATATATAGGGAAATCTTTTAAAATCTCCTTCTCAAGTACTTCAAAGCCATGATTAGTGATATTTATATGAAATCATCCTCAGGTAGTGTAGATTCAAGTTTGTTCAAATCATGATCCCCTAGGGGGTTAAGATTTAAGCCCCCCCAAACCCTCCAAACTCAGTAAACTTTCATTTCTGATCTGATATTTGCTTTCTCCGAGCCGGTGTGCTCAGGTGAGCGCTGTGGCCCCTGGGCCTCTTGTTATATTACGTATAAAGAAAACCAAAACGATTTGGCCTATAAGTTTCCTTGAGGATTGATGGATGTGATCAAGACGATCAAAGTCTCTGCAGTCGTAAAAAGAGGATTTTTTTTCTCCTATAGCCACACTGTAAAAAATAACTACTTAAAGTCACCAAGAAGACTAGTAAATTTACTGTCCACACAATCACTACCTTAAAAGTAGTTTTATGGGTATTGGGTATATTTACTAGATACGATTAGTAAATCTAGAATTGATAAGTTACTTTCACCAGGTATCTAAGTATCTATACGACCCCCCGCTTCACAACTAATTACTATCTTAGCCAGTAAACTGAAAGATCATGAGGCACACTAGTTAAAGATCACTAGCTTTTTCTTTCAGTGCATGCAGGGTCATCTAGCAATATATGTCAAGCAGACAAGCTGCTTAGAAAATACAATAAATGTGGAGAGTCCTTTCCAAAAATTAAGAAATTCCCGAAACTTGAGCCTTGATTCTAGGTTGCATAAGGGTGGGGTGAGGGTTGGGGGCTGGTCTTGTATAAACATTACTCGGGCATCATACGTGCAAACTTTTGCATATGATCACGATAAACAACTCGATCCTCCCAAAATAGTGAAATCCATTAATTGACCTTTGAGCATCTCATGCAGAATAGCGAGATTCCATTTAATATTGTGTGACCTTGAAAACCATATCCTCCTCCGAACAAATGCATTTTGACTGTCCTATCACATCACTTATATCACACCAACATGAAGTTCCATCTCTGACAAGAATGTGCACACCCCATTTAAAATACATTTGTCATTCGAAGAAAAAAAAAAATCTTTTTGAGCATTTCAATATTTTACTTTCTCACTAAGGAGTAGGAAACTTAAAAAAATCTGTTTATTTAATTTTAGACGAGAAATAGTTTTTTTTATATCGTGATGAGGTCTCTTTGCAATAAAGATTACAATTGCAAAGAATGCCTAAAAATTGTAATTAAAGGCGTAAATTACATTTTTATTCTAATTGTGCAATCAAGTTATACTATTACATCTACATTACAAACTAAGATATGTTCAGAGGCTATATTCAGAGATGAAAAACTGTGTAATTGGTTTGTAATTAAACAAAAAAATCAGAAACGTATATTCTACAAATATTCATGAAATAATAGTTTTACCATTGCTCAAAGGCTGGTCAACTGCTCATTAATCAGTAACTGTTTATTACTACTACCAAAGCATTATTTTGATGTTAAACTTCAAGTACTTATTGTTCTATATGCGTCTCATTTTTTTCAAGTCCTAGGTTTTGGCTTTATGATAATTTATAACTCCATAATAACTTCCTTGAATTAAGCATTAGAGTGGTATTCCGTAGCACATTGACCAGAGACGTAATATTATCTTCTTCTTTAGAGAAGACGAGGAGCGAGCAACACTATAAGGTACGTCAGCGCAAATCTTCGATTCCTATTGCTATGCAACTTTGATTTAAAAAATAATTGTAAAATCAGTTAATTTATACCTCATTGCAACTGATTTGTACCCTTATCGAGTTCTATTGTTAACAGTCTCTGTTAAAATATCATTGAAAATATCTTTTTGAAAATATTTTTCTTTCAAAATATAAAGGCTTTTGTTTGTCTCTTTTAAAGAAGAAAACGGGGAAGTAAAGCATTGGGATTGCTACTCATTTTAATTAAATGCTATACATGTAATTCTGACACAAGTTTTTGCATTGAAACTATTGAAATGCAAACCTTGATCGGTTACTGGTGGATGTAAACCAGTATCGCGATACCAGAAATCAGTTCAATACCTGCAGACGTATAATTTTATGAAAAATCCAAGAAAATCAATTGGGCAAAAAAAAAAAAACCCAAAAAAACAAAAACAAACATTTAACAAAAAAAAAGAACAAATAAACAAAAACTGAAAAACGGACAGACGGATAGAAAACATAATCCCTACAGTGTAGTTTGCTCCTGTTTCCCTTTTTGAGATTAAAAAAGATGGCTCGAGTCAATGGAAATATGCAAGCTCATCATTTATCCTCTCTTGTTAAAACCGGATTTTTTTGGTAACTATGAAATCATTGTTTACAACAACAACCAAAAAAAATTCAGTATGTGCCATCCAGTGACCTGTTTTACGTTAGAGTTTTACTAGAAGATCCTTCTTTAACACTAGATACAATGTACTTAAGAGTCAAAATCAGCAAGCATCGAGCATTGAATGGAAAGTCAAAATTTTATTTTTTCAAAAGCTTTTGGTATATAAAAGATTTTGTCCTATCTAATGCTAAAACACAATTAAATTTTTTTTTGAACGTATGAAGGGACTGGTATCCAAGGAAATTCATTTCCTTAGCAACGGGTTCATAAATCCTTATGAAAATCAATGATTTTTAGACATTTTTCTACGAATATTTTTTCTGAACGTGATAAGATAAGGTATTTTGGTTACTTTATTTGTGAAAAGAAGGAATTACTGTATTCTCTCAAAATAGGAAAAACAAAATTTCTGTGGTGATATTGTTGCCATGACAACGAGAAAAGAACATGGCGTCAATGCTTATTAATTTTGAAAAAGTTACATATGTTTATCACTATATACACAAAATCTACAACCACTGCTGGAAAAATGAATGGTGTTATCTTGTTAGGGGTTATCCATATGTCATATCTATACAATAAAATTTGCAGGCAACTTTAGTAGAAAAAAGTTACAAATGGTTGAAATGTGTGATAATTTGGCATTTATAAGCTTTTTTGAAGGGGTGGGGGTAATTTGATTACATGTACAGTGTCCATTATATTGGTCATATTGGTTCTGATCAAAACATACTCATAATTTTACTATTGTTGATAAATAAATGCACATTCAATTTCAAAAGGAATTTTATATTCCTCACAAACGAAACTTGGAAAGGGGGGAGGGGGGGGGGGGGAAGTAGGAATCACCTTGTCCACCGATCCATATGTATGTAAAATTTTGACTTGTCCATAACATTTCAATGAAGTGCCACTGAAAGTTCATACTTGATATTAAGATTGCTTGTGATCGAGAGATGTGTCAAAAACTTGACTCAAGGTCATTTGAACAAGTTCAAGGTCATTGGTAGAAGAAAAGTGCAATCTTTGCCCATTCTGTAACATTCTAATGAAAAGACGAAGTTTCATCTTGGATATAATTTTCGAGCTGTAGGTTTGTCATGACCTTGACCAAAGCTCATTTAGACATGTTTGACCTTGACTCAAGGACATAGCTTTTTCAAGGTAAAGGTAAAAGTGTACTATATGAGTTTGGCACATTTACATATTTAACTTTGAATGAAGAGAAATTGGAAGTTTATGCTCAACACAACAGTTTTACTACCTATGACTTGAGTATACATGTATGTCATAGTCATTTTTGGTATGTATATCTGCACTAGCAAAATTTTAAAAAGGTTTTAAATTAATATTTGGACCTTTTTTAAAATAAAAAACATTTAATGCAAAAGTACTATTTTATGAGCTTGCTCACAATAATTATCGTTTATGAAAGAGAGTCACTATGACAGCTCACATAATTTTAAAGTAAAACCATATCAATCAGGCATGTAGCATCAGGTTTGGGTTAGGTAGGGGGGATGACATCCCCACCCAATTTTTTTCTCAACATAACCTGATGTTTACCCCCCTCCCCCCCCCCCCGCGATTTTGGAGAATTTCCCCACTTTTTTCTTGCAGTTTTTTTACGCCTACCCCACACCATGCACTTTCAAAAATGATACCATGTCTGTCAAGAACGAATGACTGCAACCTTTGGTATTGAACCAATGATATATTCTCCTGCTGTCCTAATTAAGAAACAATATTGCAAGACAGCTAAGACCTCAGTAGCTACTGGTGCCTAAAATAAAAATCTTGAAGGGCTATATATGTATATATATGAATGTCTATACTTGAACTGACCCTAAAAGATATTCATTAATAACCCTAATGGGCAATCCTTTGAATGGCATATATCAAAATTTTTGTTGTACATATGTAATTATATCTAAAAACATTTTGAAAACAATGTAGAAATCAGAAGAGAATGACAAATATGAATATTTTACATATACATGTACATATATATAATACCTAGAGATACAAAACATAAATTTGAGGAACGTGTCGTCTGACTTTAAACTAGTTAATCCTCATCATTTTTATTTCACTCACACCAACATCAGTGGTACATAAGGTACAATATATAAATTAGCCCTCTTTCTTTTTTCTCACAAAAACATTTTGTCAGTTTTAAGATTGATTGATCATTTAATATTGACTTTGTTTTAACTATGATACTTCAAAATGCAGAATTTAAAGATATGTTTCAGATTCTTCGACTATCTAATAATTATGAATCTGCATGCTAAAAATTGATAGTTATTAGATTTATATCAATAAAAAAATGCTAACAGAAAAACAAACAATGTTACTTTTGGATTGAACATATTTATTTGATCCACTTTCGTGAATACACTGTACAATTTATGGATCTATTTTCTCGATCCCTGAGTCTCCGGTAACACTATCCACTCACCTCCAGCATCAATGGTCTGTACTGTAATAATGTATTCCCATAATCTGAAAAAAAGTGATAAAATTAAAATGTAATAATATTATACAGCTTTGCCGTCATATAGTATACTTAGAACCATTTCTTGTTGAGCTTGAGAAATGATGATGACTGCAAAGCATGTTTATTGGAATCAATTAAATTCCAAGAAATCTCAATGGTTTATCATTTTATTTTAAAAAGTTAACGTTTTTTCTAAATGTGTTATTTACATGTTTTTCATGTCCAATTCTATATCCGCTCATCCAATTCTGCTTCTGCTTCTTTCCGAGTATGGATTCAAAGTGCCGAATTTCATTCTAAAAACAGAAGTATACAACACAAAGTTGAGACCGCATTGATTTTAGATATTCTTTAAATTTAAAAACTTGCAATAAAAAGGTCAATTGGTTCTAGGTTTTGTCAAAACTCTAAATCATGTTTTTCATTTTTTTTTCCAATACCCCCCCCCCCCCCCAGAAAAAATGGATATAGATATTCATTTCATAAATTTACATGCTTTAAATCTAATGATGCTTATTATTTGAACCTAGGTAACTTAAATTAGTTCAGTGGTACCGGAGAAAATGTTAGCTGAATATGAATTTTCTTTTATAACTAAACACTGGATGACATCAGCTGAAAAAAGTTTTTTTTAATCAATTATTTTAGTGTGGTATATATACAATTCAAGTACCACTAGTCCACTACAGTACATAATACACTTGTCTGTATCACAATACTTCCAAGGTAAACCCCCCCCCCCCTGCCCCTTTTTCTTTTTTATGGACGCCATAACAAAGGTCATTCCATTTTACAAATATTTCATAATCGTGATGGTTTTCATAAATTCATAATTTTTCATGTAAAAAGCATGTATTACATGTATCTTAAATGGTAAATAAAGATATCTATTATATACAAAATTTTTATTTACTCGACCATCAATCAAGTTATAATCATTACATGACTGTATATAGCTGGTGAGTGACTTAGGCTACATACATACCGTGAATACAACAAATTAAAATTATAAACTAAATTCAATTTAAACTTTATAATTTGGGATACAGTTATGTAACTGATCATTACCAACTTTTTCACGTTAGTCCCGTAGAAACAATCTAAATTGGGGATTTAATTTTATCATATTATATAGTTTAATATCGGCAATATTATTGGAGGGCATACCCCCTCCTCCTGGTTCCGCAGGCCATGCATAATCTTTTTTTTTTAGTTATAAAATAAGTAATGCTAACATATATAATCAATCAGAATAAAATTGAAATGTGCAAAAACACTTGCCAAGTGTTACATATTTTACTGCATGGTTGATAAATTTATGCTATACATTCTTCAGTAACTGTTGTAATGGTAAATTGTAAAAAATTCAATCACTCACCGTAATTAAGACTCATGAAAACGCCAAAACTGAGGCTCAGACTGCTCCAAGTTTGTCTTGTGTACAACAATGTAAGCAAACTACCGTTTATTCCTCCTATGTTAGAGAGCTATACCAAAGGGAGGTAATTTGAAGCAAAAGTGACAGAAAATTATGGATTTAAATCAGTTGTCATATATAAATGCTTTAGTTGCCTGCAGATTTTTTTCTTGATTCTTCTAGTACAAATACTGTTTAGTAAATATTTTATGTTGATAAGCTTTAATGTGGTTGTAGATTTCTTATAGAGTACTTCAAATTTGCTGTTTTTTAAAGCAAAATAAACCCCCAAAAACTAGTTTTATCCATCAAAAGGTGAAGAGAATTTCAATAATCAACAGCTGTTAAAATAGAGTATATTTATATAAATAAAATAATAATTTAAAAAGCTTTTTTTAATGACTAGTAATAAAAAAGTATTTGGTTAACCATAAATTCAAGAGTCATGATAAAGTACAAAACATGCTTTTTGAAAGGCGCGTGGTTTCCATAGCAACAATGCGAAAAATTATTTTTTTGCTTGCTTTTTTCTATCATACCCTTTGTTCTGAAAATTTCTATATGAGTTTTAACCAAATCTGTTTCTATGCCACTTTCCACATTTTTTAACTAAATGCTCGATGCTTGCTGATTTTGACTCTTAAGTGTTATTAAAGAAAATTTGAAATAAGAGTAAGATATGAAAACCTACTTTACAATGGGGAAAAAGGAGATAAAACCCGTTATCAAGTTCATAAGGTTATTATAAAATAAATAAATAAATCTAGAGCAGAGCAAACAAGGACCTCTAAGGTCATCACAGGTGGGATCAGGTGTCATGGAGAAGTGAGAATCCCCTGTCAATTGGTCAGACCTTCCGTGTGCTTATGACTGGGAGAACGGACAATAGCTGTAGAGAGTTCAGTGTGTAAATAATGGCCGAACAATTAATGTTAAAAAAACGTCTGTCAGCATTCGAATTATAGTATTTAAAGATAAATTGTATTTGCTGAAAAGATCATTGTATCGATGCTAAATGATGACTTTAAAGAAGAGTGATGATATCATTGTTTCTTCAACTTGTTTGTCAATAGCTTTCATTGTTTTATATATTCACAGTAGAGCTCTCGTGGGTATTGAATCAAAAGGGGAGACAAAAACCACATTTGTATATGCAAATGATAACGCTATGTTGCACCATAATTAACTAAGGGTCGGGTTGACGATTAAAAGTTCTTATCTCAAACGCTCATATATGAATAAGCTAGATAAGCCACTCATAGGATGCATCTACATATATAACATATTTCTTGTTGAAATCTATAATGGCTTTTACATTGTTTGTATTTGATACAATTACAAAGTACCCAGAAGGCAAAGAAACTACATTTTATCAAATCTGGTGTTAGATGACTTCGTGTTGTTTTGAAAAGTACATTATTTTGTAACTGATTATGATTTAATTTCAGAAGATAAAAGTAATTTTAAAGGAAAAAAAGAAGGATGACAGATTTTAGAGGTAATTAAAGACTAATACCAGTAGTTGTTATTAGCTGCAGAACTGTACATGTACATTTCAAACAAGAACAAAATATCAAAATATTTGAATAGTTTTCATTCAATTCAAAAATATACAAAACATATATTTGAGGAACGTATCTTCTGACCTTAAAATCCGATTGAGGAACAATTCGTTGATAATTAATTCAAAACTGTAAAAAATGTCTTACATGGCTATAAATGGCTCACTGACAATAGCATTATCGTATATGAATGCATGCCACTTTGGTAAACGTACATTATATACCAAATTATGTGTTTTTTAAAAAATGCATTAAATTTTACAGATTCTCCGATACACGATGCATTGAAACCTTTAGAGTGGTTGATAGGAAAATGGAAAGGCGAAGGAAAGGGCACCTGCCCAATCAGTGGACCTTTTGAATATACTGATGAAATAGAGTTCTTTCACGTTGGTCAGCCAATGCTTCAGTTTAGGTTTGTTTGTTTGTCTGATTGTTTTCCTTTGTCTGACAGTAGTGGTGGCAGTATCTTTATCATTGATGTATAATCTACATTTACAGTAAAATATCATTTTTGTTTATATTATTTGTTGTAATTTTTATTGTTAGAAGAGATCTCCAAATTCATGTGCCCCATGAAACTGAAAAAAATTGAAACTTATAGTAAATCTAAGAATTTCCTGCTTCAACCACGGAATAAAATCCCCTCAAAACAATTATTTTCTTCAAATCACGAAAACTTAATCAAAGAAAATACATGTACGTGATTTTTCAGTATTGCCATAAAGATACTACTATACCAAGTACTCAAGGACTACAGCAGCATTTAGCTTATAATACAGTATACAATGACAACTAAAATATTTATTTGTCATATTAATTGAATGTTTTAGTTTCCGGTTATTGGCTTTTACAACTTTGCTAACCTATCAAATAAATGCATTGTCTGTGTTCTTGTAGCCTTTATTCTATCAATAAGAAAACAAGCAGGCCACATCACAGAGAATTAGGATTTCTTAAAATTAAACCCGGCACAAACGAAATAGCTTGGATAGCCGCTCATAACAATGGTGAGTACTTTTTTTCCAAGAAAGAAGGTTACGGCTTTACTTAAAATGCTTATTTAGTTTAAATTTAATTCTAAGATTACATAAGTACTTTAGAAGAAACAAATACTAGTAAATGCTGGTTTAAATTATGCTTTCATGCATTGATCGTAATATTTAATAAAGGATTTTCTCCAATCCATCTAAATATAGCTATCAGTGAAATCCAAGAGGGAACGGTTGAGGGACAAAGCATTGAATTGGAATCAAACGATATTCGAAGGAAGATATTTTTCGATGGCTGCAAAATGATAAAGGTAGCTGCAGAAATTGAAAAAAAAATGAATAAAGAATTTCCTTATTCTCATTGGAAAGATGTTATCTTAAAAGTCAATGTGTTGAAATGTTAAGTAGTCTGAGCTGACGAATAACAAACACACAGATATTAAATATTTTCTTGTTTATGATTTTATGCATAGTCCTAAAGACTAATGACATATAAGTAGTTGTTCATGAAAGAAAATCAGATTTGTATTGATTTTTCAGTACAGATGTTTTAACATATCAGATTGGTTTAAAAATTAAATTGAAAGATATTTTAAAAAGTGAATTTTAATGTTTTTTTTTTTCAGGTAAAGAGAAGTTTCAAACGAGAAGGAGACACATTACACCAGATTTTCAACATGGAAACAGATGCTGGTCCTTTAACAGAACATCTAAATACGACTTACCACAAAGTATAGTTATCCCCTCAGTGAAAAAAAGCTATCACTTGTCCATTGATAATAAACTTGAAGTTCTTTTTTAAAAAAAAAACTAAAATCGATATCTGCAATGTTCTTTAGTTATCTATTTTAAACTTTGTTCATAATGCCCCAAAATACATGGTAAAACATATTCCTTTGGAAAAAAAGATATACAAATGTTTATATATTCTCTTTGTAAAAATCCCTATTTGTCTCTACAGAGTTGTATGTTTTTTGTATTATTTAATTCAAAATCATTTACCGATATTTCCTAAGAACTTTTACCTATACTTTTTCAGATGTTGATTTTGAAAAAAATAAATCGATGTATGTTATTCATTTATAGTGATGTTAAACTTCATGTACTCCATTTTTTTTATATATAAATTCCATTATGTATTTTGATAACGTAAACAAAAGCTTATTAGAATTTCTGCAGGAACTCAAAAATTCTTTGTGAATACCATTCATACAGGTAGTTTAAAGGGGACCGACTGGGATTTTCATAAGTTTATATTACTTTAAACTATAAAGCAACGTATGAAATCAAACAAAATTAATAAATCACAATTTGAAAAAGAAATAATTATAAACGATTTTCAACGTCTTTAAAAAAAAAACACTTTCTGTGGCCTTCAATTCGACATTTAGATATTTCGACGACGTACTGTCAATTAACAATGGTGATTTCCATTCTTATTTCGATACAATATATCCTGGTGAACTTGAGATAAAAGATACCACAGAATATGGCACATATGTTTCATATTTCGATACTTTACTTTAAAAAGACGTTAATGGTAATCTAACAACCAAGCTGATGACTTTAACTTTACTATCGTTAACTTCCCTTACTTATGCAGTAATCTATTTTAAACTTTGTTCAAATGACACAATTATAGATATTCTATAGATGGTCTATTTTATATGAAAACACACAAGGAGTTGGATAAAAATCATATCCAACTACAAATCATGTGAGATTCTAATATTTACATTATCACGAATCATTGAAGCGAATTACATTTTAATCTCTAATGAAAGCAGTTCTAGTCATAATGTTTTGATAGAAGAAACTTACTTTGGGTTTACACCTGAAAACTTTAATGGATTTTGAAGACCATTTCATTTCGGTTTTATTTGAATTATAGATGAACGATTTTTTCGCTGGAATTAAATTTCGTGTAAATAAAATATACCAATAGTAAATTAGATCAGGTATTGCAGATTAAATATCAATTGAAATAAAGAAACTTTCTTCATAAGTTCAATGTTATTGCTTTTCAATGATAATATAATTTTAGTGCATTACAATGTACCAGTAAATATACAATAGCTTTCAATTAATACAGTCATGTGGATATTAATACATTAATATTTAAAAAAATAAATATTTTGATAGCTGTTGATGTTCAAAATTCAATACAATAAAACAAAGCTGTGGGAGTAGGGAAAACTCGGATCCATGGAAATTCCAGAAATGTTATTAGGTGCCATTAAGAAGTAAGTCATTGCCGACTGGTCATATCGCAATGAACCCTCCAAGCAGTCTAGCATTTTATTGACTTTCAGTCACTATGCATACAATAAACATTTGACCAGAAAAAATGAGTAAGAGACACATCGGACGATCGACACGACACGTTGGCCTTTTCATTTTTTTTAAAATAAATTTTTCATCATTCTAATGATCCGTAGTAGATAATTTCACACATTGTATTGGTTATAATTGTCCACCTACATTTTGAAAGTTTAGTTAATGGATTTCACAACCCTACTGTCCTCTTGTATCTCGTCAACTTCCCTTACTTATGCAGCAATATACCTTCAATCATCACCTGCATATGAAGTATATATATCTCAGTTGATTCGATACGCAAGAGCATGCTTAACGCATGAACAATTCCTAAAACGAGGTAAATTATTGACTAACAAAGTAATGAAAAAAGAATTTCAGCTGTCTCGTGTAATGTCATCATTTCGTAAGTTCTATGGTCGATACAATGACCTTGTCAGCAAATACAATTTCATTGAGTCAAATGCTGACTGACGTTTTTCATACTAATTGTTAGTCCATTATTCATACACTAAATTGACGACGAATTTTTCCGTTATTTCCCGATCATGACAAGGAGTACACGGCGAGTGTGACCGGTCGGCAAGGGATGCTCACTCCTCCATAGCACCTGATCCCACCTCCGATGTTTTGAGGTCCGTGTTTGCTCTGCCTTTATTTTGTATTGTTTAATGGACTTTTGATCTTGCATACTGTTCGTTATCCCCATATGTTTCATCAAGAACTTCACCAAATGTGCCTGATTAGAGGATATCAATTTTTACTTATTTAGTTCGGTACGTATACCAAAGTATGTATACAGTTACAAGAAATATGATTACATTTGAAGCTCGCGATCGTCACTGGTAAATATTTTAGGCTTTTGAACTTGAGTTTAACTTTCTGAAAAAAATTATTCTAGTATGTATTTTTTAACATATAATCTTATTTGGAACTACATGTTTTATTTACTTTTCATGAAACCTTACTTTTAAATTTTTTCCGAGTCTTAAAGCATTAATTTCTTATACCTTCTTAACAGTAATGGTATTTTCACTATTTTTAAACATTTTGTTATCTTCAATTATACAGAAGATATTTGAGGTATCACTGTCTAGATAGTATAGTATGCCAGGGCATCAGCGATAGTGGGAAACATGGGATAATTGTATAACAGGTGAAGCCCGTTATGCATAAATTATCCCATGTTTCCCATTATCGTTGATATTCCTGGCATACTATACTAACTAGACAATGATTCCTCATATTTCCATTTCATTGTTAAATAAAATTGTAGATTTAGACTTTAAAAATGTAGACATGGATTTAATTTCCACGAGGACTCCCATATCAATTTCAATAGCCCTCGTCAAACATGTAGGCAGCTGCAGGAGATTTACATGCATATTTGGCCTCCTTAGCGCAAAACAGAGACAGAAGCGTCGAGATTTGCATTAGGCCTCCTTAGCTCTTGACCTATCGACCTTCCTAATTTACATTCCGGTAGAATTATCAAGAAATAAACTCCGGTAACTTTCAAAAAGTTGATACAGAAACAAATGGAAATAGAAATATTGCATTAACATTTTTACACATGGTATCAAAAAGCATGTTTAAGAAGTAAGAATAAAATACAATCATTTGGACGTGGTAAAAATACTGAATTGCTATAATGAAATAATAAAAACATAATTGTCGTTAACTACCGTACTTTTTTGATTGGGATAAGCCTTTCTTTTATACTTCTATTTGAAATACTGATTTTTAAGTATTTTGATAAAAAAAAATTTTCCAAAGAAAGAGAAGACTGTTTTGGAGTATCAATTATATTAAATGTTATATCAGCACCCTCTTTGTTACATTTCAAGAGGTATTGAATAGGTTTGTCAATCGGTTTTTCATGATTGTTTACAGTTTTCTCTAGAAAAGAAATATATTTATAAATCTTTCTGTGCTTTGCTAGCAATTGTCTTTTCACATATTCATTAATTTCCTTTAATATGTCCTGCTTTTTGCCTCCAGTCCCTTCTTTTATCAAACACTGTAAAAGATTTTTTAAGCTTTTAACATTTGACTCTCTGTTCCACCGAGACTTGGCAAATTCGCTAGGTAAAATATCATTATAAGATATTATAGCTGACAAGATTATTCTAATATATTTTACAAGAGTTTTGATCGTCTGCCTGTATCTTCTGTTATAACCTATTCTCAATTTCTTTCTGTAGAGCCTTACAATATCTGATGACGAACATTCTTTGTGTTCAGAACAATCGTCACAAATAGGATGATCACAAGACAAACACCAACGATTACAATACAAATTAGGGTGCTTTCCCGTATGATAAAGTTTCCAAACTTCAAACGATATATAACAATGACGTGTTTCTTCTCGTCAGTGTCAATATAATGAATTTCCTTCCAGAGAAGACAAAGATCACGTTTGCAGGTTCTGCACTAGTAGTCTGCGTCATGAGGACATTGAGAACACAGTGGTACCTTCAAGACTACGTCCATGGTGTAGATTGTCTCCTTTTTCTCTTTTTCCAAAACGATTCTGATAAAGAATAGATTGGAAGGCAAAGTAAAACTAATGATAAAATTATCAATCAAAATGCTTCATGAAAAAAAAGTATTGGAAGACTACATGAAATTGCCACACCCTAACAAAAAATACTATACTTAACTATAGTTTATAATTACTATAGTTAACTATAGTAAATCAAATTGTCAAAATTATCACTATAGTAAATCAAACTTTTCGAAGTGTTCATTATAGTGTCAAAGTGATCATTACAGTAAATCAAAGTTTTTAAAGTTATCGCTATAGTAAATCAAAGTTTTTACCGTAGTAAATAAAAGTTTTCATAGTGATCACCATAGGAGATCAAAGTTTTCATAGTGATCACCATGGTAAATCAATATTTTCGTACTTATCACTTTAATAAATCAAAGTGTTCACTATAGTAAATCAAGGTGTTAAAGAGTTCACCATAGTAAATCAAAGTGTCAAAGTGTTCACTATAGTAAATCAAAGTTTTCATAGTGTCAAAGTGTTCACTATAGTTAACTATAGTAAACTATAGTTAACTATTGTATCTTTTTGTTAGGGCATATCGATTCCGAATAACTTTAATTCAATGTTCGCAAGTATAATCATATTTTTGTGTCACTAATGTTCAAAATTGGCATGCACCATTATAAAAATATTTTATACTACATGTGATATTTATATAATTTCTTTGTAAAAACATTTTTCTCTCGGTTAAGTTGATCTAACATTAGCTGTCTGCGCAGCAATGAAGACATGAAAACGAAAGCATAATTCGTGTCCTTTTGTGAAATTGCCAAGGAATTCTTCTATTAACACACATATGCAGGTCTATAATTATATAATAAACTAATAAATATACTAGTTAACGAGTTAAGTAAATCAATGTTATCTTAGTCAATATGAAAATTACAAAAGCTAGTAAAGATATTATATTCCGAATTCATAAATAATTAACTTCCTCTTGTTTTTTAAAAAGTAATAACTTGTATGAAGAAAAAAAGTTTTAAACTTACTCCCTACTTTATGTTCAATGTTCAGCAGATTAATAGGTGACAGAAGAATTTTATCATCACATTTTGTACTCTGTTTTATTTCAAACAAACGTCAGGAAGTTTATCTTAGATAAACTTCATTAAATTTTATATATTTAAAACAAATACATGTACAATATTTATTTATTTTATTACAGGACTGCTCCATAATCAATTTACCTAAATAAAAAATCAACACAAT